CTTTGGCCCAATTTGAAATTCTTAATAAGTCATTATTTAAACAGTCTGCAGCAATGTCAGGATCATCAATTATAACATATAGAGACGTGTCGTCTCTGCAAAAAGTCTAATATTACTAGCAATATCATCTACAATATCACTAATATATATTATGAACATTAGGGGTCCTAAGACTGATCCTTGAGGGACGCCTGCTAATTAATATTATTAGGATATTTATATAACGCACATATCCAAGCAACTAGTGCATGCCGAAGGCGCTGGTATTTTTCCCCTCGATCATTTGGTGTCAATCTCAACGGCACATCGTATTGTCAATCTCAACTCCTCCCTGGGGAGTATACAACTCTTGCTGCCACTAGGTGCACCGAGTTAGTGTGGCTTTCTCATCCTAACGAGGTACCCATTCACAGCTGGGTTGACTGGGACACATAGTCACGGTACTTTATCCAAGTTCACTGCACGTTGCTGTACCCGCAACTAGGTGTTTGCACGTATTCATGTGGCCACCATCTGGTCATATACCAACGGATTCGTGGGTTCTTTTAAGTGCACAGGGTTGTGTACTGTACACTAGGGGTTGTGACAACATTGAAAGAGTCTGCACACAAAGTTGACTCCAAGGTTTCTACACCCGTGGACATGTTATCCCGGCACCTCGAAGCTCGCTGGATCACTAGCCAGGCGCCTTAGCCAGCTCGCCCACTGCGCCCCTCATACTGGTCAAGCATTTGATGTGTGTCCATTAATTACAACTCGCTGGATTCTACCATTCAAATAACTTTCAAACCACTTTAGTAGGTTACCTTGAATTCCATAGGATTTCAATTTATGCAGGATTCCTTTTTTTGCCAAACTTTATCAAACGCTCTGCTAACATCGCAAAATACCGCTCTTACTTCTTCTCCATCGTCTAGTGCTTTAGCTTTGGAATCATATAGATAGGTTAGCCGATTAGTTGTCGAGTCGCCGGGAGTAAAAACCAGATTGGAGATTTGACAGAAGGCTATTATCTCTCAGAACATTATATACCTATTTAAAGATACACTTTTCAAATACTTTAGCAATACAACTTGTTAATGCTACCGCTCTATAATAAGAACAATCGTATATATTACCTGTTTTATTGATAGGGATTACGTACGCTTCTGTCCAGAAGGTGGGGAACTTAGACAGTTCTAATGACAAATTAAACAATTTAGTTAGGATCGGGGCTAGTGGGTTGGCACACGTTTTTAATACTTTGTTTCCGATTTTATCAGGACCTGTTGCTTTAGTAGTATCTACAGATAGCAATATATTCTTAACTCCCCCAATGTCCAATATTATATCATCGATCTAACTCACTCGCTCACTTGCACATTTTGTTTCCTGAAGTTTGTGATGCATGTATTGCAGATTTTGCGTTTTTGGGAATACCAAGATAAAAAGTCAACCTAATAGGGATCGTGAGGCTGGAACATAGCAAAACAAATATGCTTGAGGTTGACAGATACTATGTAGAAAAATAAACCATAACAACAGCTGCACACACACACACACACACACACACACACACACACACACACACACACACACACACACACACACACACACACACACACACACACACACACACACACACACACACAACAACTCCACATGCATTTAAGTGTGTTAGATATACCCGTTAGAATACCCCCTCTCTATATGTTTACATATCAAAACCTCAACATATATTTGCCCCAAAAACATGATCGAGAGGACAGTTGGAGATTTTATATCGATTATATATCAGGACGAATATTATTATTATATTTTCCATAAGTATATTTATCAATCTGAAGGTCGCCCTATTCAACTGGTGTCCGCACATCCTCCCAACGCACGTGGGTACTACTTTTAAGCAAAATCTGTCAATTTTTTTTTAGTTATCGTCCTAACAAGCTTATATGATGTATGAAATGCAACGAAAAACGAACACACGCGTATTTACGAATGATTTAAACTGTTATTACAATTTACGTAAATATTTATTACATTTTACCGCAACAAAAATTATTACAATTTACGTCAATTTTTATTACAATTTGCGTATTACAATTTACGTCAATTTTTATTACAATTTACGCTAAGGGTTATTACAATTTGCTGCAAGTATTACAATTTATGTTTCATTACAATTTACGTCGTAATACGGCCCCACCCCCCACCCTCTCGATTCCGAGAGCATACGGTTCATGCAAAAGGAAAAAAGAAAAAGGGACCATGGTACAAATGAAAATAGGTCTGCTTCCAAGGTCGTCACAAAATATTCGATTTATACTTCTTAAATAGCTTTAAAACGTGCCACCAAATCTCTGTCTCAAAAATAAACCTTAATCCTTAATACTATTATGAAAGGACTTTCTCTTTATCCACAGAAAGTATTTGAGACAAGTGGAATTAATACCATGTGACATTTTATATGGGTCAATAAAGGCACACATGTTGATACTCCGTGCCGCCCTTTAAATTGTAAGTGCTCAGTCATGGGTATCACTTCACCATGTGTCACGATTGATCCCAGTACGTTATGGGAGCGGTGGGTAATCCTAGTGGTGTCCTCCCATTTGTGAGAACTCCCAGTTGTGAGACACATTATTTAATGGTTCAGTGCACACAGGTGGTGCTTCCCCATCCCTACGATGAAAGTGGGAACAACCCTGTTGCTGAAGAGTACCCACAGGAGGCATAGTTCATAAATGAGCATTAAAGAGCATTTATTGTTTTCAATAAAGAACAAGTTAAATACTGAAATACTGAAAAAGATTATCATTATATTTACACAGAAGAAATAGTTCATTAAAAATTTCATTATGATTTTTGATTTACACATTTTGATGATTTGCGATATTATGATGATTGTGTGTCATTATAAAACACTTTTTTTACATGGGTCCATATTTGGAGATTTTGACACTTTTCATATTGATCACGAAGTTACCTACACAAAGTGTTTATTTTTTAAAGCCATTTACCTGAGTAGGTTAATTACTTTATCTTTTAAGCTACCTCCACAAGATTCAGTTAAATAGCTAATCCCTAATAAGCTGGGGTTATTCCATTCTATCAGATAGGGGAGTAAGGTGTGTTTTCTTTGCTACTTACCTTCTCCACTGTCTCACAACTGGTAGTTCTCACAAATGGGAGGAGACCATCCTAGCGGTTAAAGCGTTCTCTCGTCACGCCGAAGACCCGGGTTCGATTCCCCACATGGGTACAATGTGTGAAGCCCATTTCTGGTGCATCCCACATTGATGTTACTGGGAAACCTGTTATAAGCGGCGTAAATGCAAACTCACTCACTCACTCAGTATATCAGTATATGGCGTGGTCGGACGCGCTAACGAACCCGATGTTACAGTGTGCGAATAAGTTTCCAAATTTTGCTAGCCACACGGACTAGCTATGCCTGAAAGTTACTAGCCCACAAAATTATTCACTGGCCCGAAAATTGATTGGATTTTTACTAGCCACGGGCTAGAGGGCCAGTGGCTATTTCGAACACTGCCAATGTTACAGTTATATTACGACCAATTGCAAAATTAGTGTAAGTGTTGTAACGCTACAGTTACTCATAACCAATTATTTACGCGGGTATCTAATATATGACAAACCTAACCCTGGTCATACGAGATTTAAAGGGTATTGAAATGCGTGTCCTACATTCACAGCATTTACGGTTGTTACACATGAACACAATGGCCAGATTGACACACTTATGAAACATATATAAATACATAGTTGAGTGTTCGTGTATTTCAACACCTCCATAAACGTGTGCAAATCCGGCAGCCAAATGATATGTAGATTTCAAACGTCGACGGTTCTGGACGTTAATATATCATGCAGGAAAACAATTCGAGCACGACTTAGTTCTCAAACCAAGAGCATGGGCACAGCAAAGAAGACAACCAAAGCCCTGTGCATAATAAAATGTCTTCGCGCATGTTGTTAATGGAGGCAAATTGAAGAAAGAACCTTTGTTTTACTCTTCTTACAGACGAGTTACAAAATACTGATTGCCAGCTCGACAAAGCCGAGAGATGAAGTCCGTATTAAACAAAGTAGGGGTGTTCTGGAATATGCTAGTTTGGCCCCAATGCCTTTATTGTCTTAAGTCGAAGTTGTTAGTACTCAAAATCGATCTGTACTTCAAATAAACGTCACAGTAAGTCGTTGTTTTAGCAGAGTAACACAGTTAGAGCAAATGTAACAAAATGACAAATGAACATAGTAGAAGTGACTTTCCCTCAAAAACAAACAGAGATGATGTCAAGAAAAGTAGGAATATCTCAGTACCTTGTAGTTCTACCCGGGGTACACCATATGTCCAAATGTTTGAATGACCTGTTTAGACTTTTAGCACTCAAAACACATACTGGCCAGACCAGTGACCATCCGGGTTCGAATTGGACTTCAGCAGTCAATGCTTGCCGTAAGAGGTGACTAAATGGGATCGAGTGGTCAGGCTCTGACATGGTTGACACATGTCATCGTATCCCAATTGCGTAGATTGACACACATGGTGTTTGTTCATCACTGGATTGTCTGGTCCAGACTCGATTATTTACAGACCGCCGCCATATAGCTGAAATATTGCTGAGTGCGGCGCTAAACGTGAGTCAAATCAAATCAGATCAAACATACTGGTCATATTATGTAAGTGTGATATTAGATGTTAATGTTGGATGGTTAGCTAACTGATGATAAAGAATATTACAGTTCGTGCGGTTGCTTTGATAATTATTTCAGGTTGGCCAGCCATATCTAGAGTAATAAAGGTAAAATGGTTTATAGATGCATAGTAACTACTTGATTACATCATGTCAAGTTGGCAACTACACGGTATCTTATCTTTATTGCCACTAATAAACTTTTAAAATGTTAGTCAAAGAGAGTGTCAACACGCTCACACCGATAGCAGCCTTCTGTTTGGGTCACAAAGAGCTTTCAGCGATTCTTGCAACGTATGTAGGCAAATCAGCATGTGCGGACAAATTCAGAATCTGGATGCCGGAAAGTCGGGGCTACCCCCAACACGTACGTGTATTCAGCAACATACGATGACATTGATGTCCATATGATCAGCGTAATAGCATAGGTTAGATATTTCCTGGATTCTTTGAAACTGCCATCATGTGTGTGCACATACTTCAGTGCTTCTGGACAAGCTTCTCCGGTCACGTACACTGGAATACTGGAGTATATACCAGAGCTTAATTGGGGATACAGTAAGTTTTACTTCAAACTTGTTGGATTAAATACTGGCTGGGCATTTAGAGTGCCAAAACATAGGGAAAACATCTTTAATTCATTCAGAACATGTTTTTGGAAAAAAGAGCAGAAGTTTATATAGACGCGACAAATTCCTTTCCACATCGAGAAGAAATCTCCTAGTGCAGAGTCGATTGTATAATTGGGATAATATCACTCTACATTATTTCTTTATTTAATAACTGATATGATGTCCAGAATATATACTCTCTCAAAAAAGAAACGCATATAGGAATTTCAACTGTATTTTTATGTTTATTTTGAAACATCTTGTAGGCTTTATGAGTCAATGAAATATAGCGAAATTGCACACTGGGAAAGCAGACTTATCCGTCTTTGGCACCAACTCGAGGAAAGTCAGTTTGAGTGTCACATGGAGACGTGTTTTGGCGCTGAAGTCAATACCTCGTGTGACCACCGTGTGCATCCAGAACTGCACGGCATCGCCTCGGCATCGAACGAATAAGTCTCAGAATCTCGTGTTGCCCAATCGCAGCCCACTCTGCCTGTAGTGCCTGTGCGAGTTGCTGAAGTGTCTGGGGATGAGGGTTACGGCGTCGCACCCGTCTGTCCAGGGCATCCGGTAGTGGTTGCCGTAGCTGTTCGATGACGCAGGTGATGTACCCGGATGTAGCGATCCTGCGCCGCAGTGGTGGCTCGAGGTCGCCCACTACGAGGGGCATCTGCTATCGCATTCTGCCGGCGATATCTCTCCCAGAGCCGTGAAATGGTGCTTTGGTGAACATCCATGCTTCGGGCAACTGCACTTAGAGACTGGCCAGCTTCAAGCAAACCAATGGCGATATGACGGTTGGCTTCACTTAGACGTGGCATTTTGCGTTCGTCAACTATATTCCAAATACAGTGAATAATCGACAGACAGCGATCAACCTTTTATACCCATCATTGAGACTATCTGATCCCCAACTTTTACGTACATTGCATGTGAATTGTGTATTCTGTGACACTTCACGCCGAAATTGAAGATCATGCTGTTAAATACGGGTATTTTACGGATGGTGCGTTTTGTTGTGATGTTTCAAAACATAAACACCATAGGACTCATAAACAGAGCAAAACCTTTTGTAAAATGAATCACGTTTTCATTCATTGCTACATGAAATTGCTATTTTCACGATGCGTTTCTTTTTGGGAGAGTATATTATGTTCCTCAAAGGGTATTACCCAAAGAATTTTTCGATACAATGTCTATTCTTTAAAGAGAATTACATTTAAATAAACTTGAAATTTTGGCCTGACATTTAATTACATACTGAAGGCATTAGGCCGTTTCCGACAGCTTGAATGTTACAGTGTTGAGAATAATTATGCAGGTTCCGTCTTGCGAATGTAAAAATAAAATATTGTAGAATATATTTGAATTTGATGAAACCTTAGTAAGTCCACATATAAAAATAGTCTTGTTTCTCATTACCGCCCAACCCAAAAATTCAACCCGCCCCAAAGATTTTTTTATATTTTCTACACTATAATAAATGCATCTTTGACTCTCAAAATGTGCATGAATTTTTTCACGCTTCTAACTTTTGATTATCTATCAGAGAAAAGATGTACATTTCCACAGAAATCAAAGGATTGTGGACATAAAATAAAATGTAAACCCAGCTTTACTTCTCTGAGAGGCATTAGAAGTTGGAGCATAAAGAAAGAAAACAATATATGGATGAACAATTTCTTTATTGCTGTGAGAGCAATAATGTGCCAGCCTGACTTATATTTTTTTTTTAAAAGTGATGAGAAACAAGAATATTTTTATGTGGCCTCACTTAGAAAAATATACTATAATTTTGACATTGTCATGGTAACACGCGACTCTTTCTATATATGGGGGCGGTGGGGTAGCCTAGTGGTTAAGGCGTTCGCTCGTCACGCCGAAGACCCGGGTTCGATTCCCCACGTGGGTGCAATGCGTTAAGCCCATTGCCGGTGTCCCCCGCCGTGATATTGCTGGAATATTGCTAAAAGCGGCGTAAAACCAAACTCACTCACTCACTATTTCTATATGACAGTTCCTCCGAGACTATTTGCACGCCATAAAATAATTACCTCTTGATATACTTACACCAACTGACCTTTGTTTCTTGTACACCTTCTGGGGCAGTGGGGTAGCCTAGTGATGAAAGAGTCCGCTCGTCACGCTGAACACCCGGGTCGATTCTAGGGTCGATGGGTACAATGTGTGAAGCCTATTTCTGGTGTCCCCTGTCGTGATATTGCTGGAATATTGCTAAAAGCAGCATAAAATCATACACACTCACCCACTCACTCACTCTTTGGTAATACAACCGCCTCAGTGGTGTAGTGGTTAGTGGAGAGCGGAAAGTCGTGGGTTCGATCCCCGGCCGCGTCATACCAAAAAGACGTTAAAATATGGTACTTGTTGGTCCCTGCCTGGCGCTCGGCATCAATGGGTACATCAAGGACTGGTCGGCTTGGAGTCAGTATAATGTGTCTGAGTGGGGTATTCATGCTTAACTGTGGCATGGTATCTCAGTGAGCTATAGCTAGCACTATAAAACCAGCTAACGTCTGGGCTAATACATGAAGCCACACATACACACACATGCACGTCGTCATATGAGCGAAATATTGGACGTGTTGGAGGGTAGGCGTGGGTGCTGGCTTGGCTGTGGTTGTCAGGGCCGGCGTGGATGATCTAGATTATGTTTTGGGAGATGTCATAGGCCCCGTAAGTCTTGCGAGTCGCTACTTCAGGTACTAAGCTGGTTCCCTTGCGATATGCGAGACGGGGCCCAGCTCACTCCCAGTACCAGATTTCCGGTGACAAGCGTATATTCAAGAACCAGTTCTGGTTCCAATTTGCGCGACCGCCAAATATGACTTTACTAGACCGGACCTAGTGTACAACCATGCTTGGCCCTCACTATCGGTTCCTTACTGTCAACTGACAACCATAAGGCCATTCGAAAAGGTATGAAACGTTGTTTGTCACCGGAAGTACTAAGGTCTCGCGAAGTGCCCTACTTACGGGCCCTACTGCTGATGGGTTGATGGGGGTGAGAGGTGACAGCAGAGATGTTTAGAATAAGCTCCGTCTAATGTATCAACACATCCGCAATCGAATGTGATGTAAACGTTATCATACGAATCCAGATACGCCACTTTAAGCACTTTTCCAGCAATATCAAGGTGGGGAAAACCAGAAATGGCCTTCACATTTGGTACCCATTTGGGGAATCGAACCTGGGTCTTCGGCGTGACAGGCGAACGACTAGGCTACCCCACCGCCCCTGAATGACATGGAAGGCACGTGAAATGGGCTTCACACATTGTACCCACGTGGGGAATCGAACCCGGGCCATCGGCGTGACTAGTCAACGATTTAACCGCAAGGCTACCCATCCGTCCCCCCTTCACTTTGGGACACTACACGAGGCACAATAAAGGGTTCCTCGGGTTTATATACAATGGAAATGCCGTGGGTATAAAAGTCAATGTGAACTGTAAGAATATATGTCATCACGAGCAGACAGGATTCCCAGAATCCACGATCATTCATATTTACAGACAATTGTCCAATATGCTCAAATCGATTTTAGCAAATAAACATGCATAACTGTTTGCACTAATCATTTATTTATTGCACTCATTTATTGACATTCTTCACGTGCAATGGTAGTTTTTTTTTGTTGGTTTTATCAATGGAGTAGCGGTCGATAGAAGTAGACCTTTGTCGTCAGGAGTTAACATACATCAGAATAGAAGCGAATAAACAATTTGTGTATTCATCAGAATAATCGATTGTACATTTCGACTTCATCAGTATGATATGCGTTCATGCATATCTATGATCAGGGTTAGATTCCCCACATGGGTACAATGTATGAAGCCCATTTCTTGTGTACCCCGTCGTGATATTGCTGGAATATTTCGTAAAGCGGCGTAAAACTAAACTCACTCGCTCATTAATGAATGCATAACTATCAAAAACTATGATTCCAGGTGTTGCTAAAATTGGCGTATCCTGACCCATCGGTGACAGTCATCACAAATACATGCGGAGGCAAGTAAATCGTTTACAAAAGACCGAAGCTGACATCGTACACACCAAACTAGGTTCCTACATCGGACATCGTCGCATATTTGTTTGTTGACTCCAGATTGCATGTTTTTATTTGCCCATTTCTGGTGTCCCCCGTCGTGATGTTACGGGAATATTGCTAAAAGCGGCATAAAACTAAACTCACTCACTCAAATCCGGTTTGGCAAGACGAGTGAATGCTTTAACATCCAACCTCAGCCACCCCTATCTTCAACAACATGTATTGATTCTCTCCTACGCTATCCTGGTGACTTCATGAACATAAGTGTCCTCTCAGGCAAGAACAGTGGATCGTTGTTACATTCAACTTCTGCTTGCTTGTACACTCCGGGTGATATTGAACTGTTGTGGAATTATTCAATATTCCCTTGGCAATGGAATGTAAAATCGATATCAAGGACAATGAATTAGTATTGCACTGTAGGTGATTCAACTTGGAAGGCATCAATAAGACTTATCTCCTCTTTGTTCAGACTGGGTGCATCTGTCTGTGAAAAACTGGGTCACTTTAGCTGTGTTCACGATGCGACGGGGGAAGTTACGAGGGAAGAAGAAAGTGAACATAAGAAAGCTGTTGGCAACCTTGCTGATGTTTGGCTTGATATCAGTGTTTGTAATGTTAAATTACTCTCAACAATCTGCACACTTTCGGAAGCTGGCTCAAAGCTTGTCTGTGATGAAGTCAGCTCGAGGATTCTTGCAACGTTTCTATGCAAATCATCATGCGCGGAGCAATTCAGAATCCCAAACCGGATTCCAGGAAGTTGGGGATGCTCTCGACACGTACGTGTATTCAGCAACATACGATAACATTACTGTGCCTATAATCAGAGTAATAGCATTGGTTAGACATTTCTGGGATGCTAAGAAAATGCCAACATTTGTTTGCACATACTTCAACGCTTCAGGACAAGCTTCTCCGGCCACGTACACTGGCATACTAGAGTATGTACCAGAGCCCAAATGGGGATACAGGTAGGTTTTACTTTAAACGTATTGGGTTACATGCCGACTTGGCACTTAGGGTGACAAAATATAGGCGTAAAATGTCTTTAAATGTTCCAGTTTTAATGCATTCAAAATAGGAAAAGTATTGTTGTGGAATAAAGAGCAGATAATTATGTATCACTCTACATTAATCAGTTGTTTAATAACTGATATGATGTTGAAACAAGTTCAATGGAATATATTCTTCAAAATCTGTTAAATAAATTTAAAGCCGACAACTTTGTTCTCGTTAATTTCAAATCCTTCAGTGAACATGTTCAATACAGTTTTTATGCTTTAAAGAAAATTACATTTTGATAAACTTAAAACTTTCAGTGATTAAGACAATATTTGTGATTTCTCACAGAAACTTCATCAACATCACTATTCATTGTAACTCACTCAGAGAAAGGTTTTGATGAAAGGTTCAGACTTGTTACAAAATGAATGGCAATGAATTGGTCATGAACATGATCGTGGTAATCACTAAAATAAATCAATGAAATATTGATTGACATGACCATAATTGTCATTTAAGGATTTGGAAGGAAGTGCTGATGATTGTGATCTTAACTGTCACATAAGTAATGGCAATGACGTTTGACAGACATGATCCTAACGGTCACAGAATGAATGACAATGACGTTTTGGCAGACATGATCCTAACTGTCACAGAATGAATGAAAATCACGTTTTGACAGACATGATCATAACTGTCACAGAATGAATTAAAATCACGTTTTGACAGACATGATCGTGGCTGTTACAGAATGAATGGCAATGACGTTTTGACAGACATTATCATAACTGTCACAGAATGAATGGCAATGACGCTTTGACAGACATGATCCTAACTGTCACAGACTGAATGGCAATGACGTTTTGGCAGACATGATCGTAACTGTCACAGAATGAATGGCAATGACGTTTTGACAGACATGATCGTAACTGTCACAGAATGAATGGCAATGACGTTTTGGCAGACATGATCTTAACTGTCACAGAATGAATGGCCATGACGTTTTGACAGACATGATCGTAATTGTCACAGAATGAATGGCCATGACGTTTTGACAGACATGATCATAACTGTCACAGAATGAATGAAAATCACGTTTTGACAGACATGATCGTGGCTGTTACAGAATGAATGGCAATGACGTTTTGACAGACATTATCATAACTGTCACAGAATGAATGGCAATGACGCTTTGACAGACATGATCCTAACTGACATGATCCTAACTGTCACAGAATGAATGGCAATGACGTTTTGGCAGACATGATCGTAACTGTCACAGAATGAATGGCAATGACGTTTTGACAGACATGATCATAACTGTCACAGAATGAATGGCAATGACGTTTTGACAGACATGATCGTAACTGTCACAGAATGAATGGCAATGACGTTTTGACAGACATGATCCTAACTGTCACAGAATGAATGGCAATGACGTTTTGACAGACATGATCGTAACTGTCACAGAATGAATGGCAATGACGTTTTGACAGACATGATCGTAACTGTCACAGAATGAATGGCAATGACGTTTTGACAGACATGATCGTAACTGTCACAGAATGAATGGCAATCACGTTTTGACAGACATGATCATAACTGGTACTGAATGAATGGCAATGACGTTTTGACAGACATGATCCTAACTGGTACTGAATGAATGGGCAATGACGTTTTGACAGACATGATCCTAACTGTCACAGAATGAATGGCAATGATGTTTTGACAGACATGATCATAACTGTCACAGAATGAATGGTAATCACGTTTTGACAGACATGGTCATAACTGGTACTGAATGAAACAATCACGTTTTGACAGACATGTGACTCAATGAATGGCAATGAATAAAAATAATATTCCAATCTTCTTTGAGTGGCATTTTAGAAGCTGGGAAGTACTATATAGACAACCAAGAGGTCAAGCAACGGTACAAGAATCTGTATCGAAACGTCGCACTCACGAAATAAAGAAGTTGTTATCCATAGTTTGACTAAATTCCAGTCAGACGCCTGACGAACTCTGTCAAAATGGTATGCACGTTTTGCCCATCGAGGACAGGCAAGCTGATCATTCATTTGTTCATGTCTGACAACACTTCATTGCCATTCTGTATGTGCGTTATTATTCAGGTGTGTGTGTTAAAATGGTGTGATATTACATTTTATTGCCCGTAAAATAAATTTGTCGAATTCTGTTTGGTCAATAGCCAAAGCATACGAAACCATGTAGGCGCATTCGTAACTACTCGTGTCATTCCGGCAAGCCGGGTGGCGTCTCGTAACCTTCTCGTGGCCATATTTACGACTGGGACCTGTCAAAGCGCAAACGGGCATGGAGATGAAAATAGTCTTCTACTATTACCAAGGAAAGATAACTCTGAATTTCCAAACATGGCTTCTAGAATATCCTATTTCCCGTGGGCAAAACAGCAATACAGTCATTCCCTTTGTAAATATGTTTCAGTGTTTAAAGTTGCTGATCCTTTAAATTAGCTCAAAGTTTATGTTTAAATTGTGCTTTGTGCTTTGCATAGTTTAGCGAAGTTTCAAAGTTCAACGGTGCCGCCATTTTCATGCTTCGAAATGCGTTTTACTACGCACGATTTGATTGGTTTGCCACTATTCTTTGCAATAATGGCGTGCGATCGGGGTACGAGTCTTCTTGTAGGTCACGGAAAGAAGCGAGTAGTTACGAATGCATGTAGGCGGATTTGCCACGTGACTCACTACAGTGGTTGTACAAATGCCCTTGACCTCAGATGGAATGTGGCGGCTTCAATTCAAGTTGGCGTATACAATTATAAGCATCAACAGAGTACTAAAATTGTTGCCATAAATTCTTATTCGTTTGGGTAAATAAATATATTTAAAAAAAAAATGTTTCTGTATTTCACTTGCCGTTTAACAGAGGCGGTGGGATAGCCTTGTGGTTAAAGCGTTCGCTCGTCACGACGTAGACCAGGGTTCCATTCCCCACATGGGTACAATATGTGAAGCCCATTTATGGGTCCCCCGCCGTGACATTGCTGGAATATTGCTAAAAGCGGCGTAAGACAAACTCACTCACCTGTTTAAGAAAACCTCCCCTGTATGACAATTCAGGAAAAATCATTGCGAAACGTTTAGGGTCTCATAAAGATAAGCTAGATAAAGAAATATTAAGGGTAATAAATTCATTACACGGTGTTTTGAAAGGTTGTAGGGGACTGTAAGCTCATTGTAACTTTATAAGGGCCTTACAGATCCCTTCACCCTTTCAAAACACCGTGTGACGACTGACTGACTGAGTTTGGTTTTACGCCGCTTTTAGCAATATTCCAGCAACATCACGGCGGGGGACACCAGAAATGGGCTTCACACATTGTACCCATGTGGGTATTCGAACCCGGGTCTTCGGCAAGGCGAGCCAACGCTTTAACCACTAGGCAACCCCACCGCCCCCACCGTGTGACAAATAGTATCAAGCTGGGAACATTGTACTTACTTTCTTCTCCTTATATGTTCTTGAATGAAATGGTGATCGAGCTTACGCTTGAGGTTAAGAGTTTGTCGGTCTGTGATTGGAGGTAGTGTGAGGTATGTAAGAAGATATTTGTATTGGTTGAATTTAATGAATGTTGAATTTTTACCCCCCTGAACCCCGCCTTGGCTCCGCCATTGCTTAACATTAACTTCAGTGTGGACTTTAGTCATTTTCAAAGGGGGGAGGGGTCAACACCCCCCACCCCACCCCACCCCCTGGATGCGCCACTGAATGGCCCGGTGCGTTAAACATGAATGTATAAGTATTTTATCCAGTACACATGACACCAAAATAAACTAATATTATCATGTAAATACTGAATCCAGAAGTGTTGATGTTGTGTATATACCATCCTTGGAGTCAATCACTTAAGTCTAGAGGTGTGACGATACAGAAATTTCACGAAACGATACGTATCGCGATAGTTTGGACGATACGATTCGATTCGATGCATATCGCGATATGCTATCTTTAGTTATTTTCTTTAAAAAGTATATTTTGATAGCAATCCTTAGAGTCCATCACTGGACAGGTGGTGACCTTCATCAAGGTCACTCGAATGGTCATCGACTATCTCCTTTTTATTGCCTTTTTCGGATACTATTCAGGATTTCTATAAAATTAATATTATATTTCAATGATTTATTTTCAGATACCATTCAGGATTTATTAAGTGTGTTCTGCCTAAAGATGTCCAACCAACAGCAGTCAGCATCAGTGGGAATATTACTGCAGAGGCCCATAATATGCTGAGAGTTATCTACCCCTTGAAGAAGAAAAGACAGTTGACCAGATGTTTCTCAGCACTTCATTCCAATTTCAGCAACACTTTGCAGCTGATACAGACCCTTGAAATCAGTCTCATGTTCGGTGTCGAACACTTCATTGTTTACAATTACAGTATACACGAATCTGCCATGAATGTTTTGAAACATTACCGTAATTTGGGAGTGTTAGATATCTTACCTTGGGATGTACCTGTAAACCGAACTCAGATTCATTATTTTGCACAACTTGCCGCCATTCAAGAGTGTATTTATAGAAACTTGCACGTCTCTGAATATATACTGACAGGAGACACGGACGAAGTCTACATACCTAAAGTGTATTCCAATATATCGGACATGATCGCTGACAACTTGAAAGGTCGACAATCATGTTCTGGTATGCTTGTCCGAAATGCCTTTTTCCCTTTGAACCTTCAACCTCATGTGGGGAATTTTACCCTGAAACAGGAAGCAAGAAGACTGAATCTTACTTATCTGTTGTACACAAGTCATTTAAAAAGAAACAACCCGGGAGACAGGACAAAACTGATCATCAAACCTACAGGTGTTGAAATCGGTGGTATTCATTCTGTTGAAAGATTTCGTAAGGGACACAGTTTTTGTATATGTCCATATTCTCGGTGCCTTCTTCACCATTACCGGATTGTACCGCCAAAGGAGTGGGGATCCTTCCGAGCAACGGATGTTTCGTTGTTGAAGTATTCTGAAAAAATTGTTAAGCGTATTATCGACAGGTTAAAGCGTTTACACGAGGAGGAACAGAGCGGTTTTTAAAGTTTTGATGTGTTAGTGTTTTGATATGTTTTGAGTATGAAAAGGATGGGAAAAGGATGTAATTGTCTTGTTCATTCAACTTCCACACCTTCTGCAAATGTGCTTGACGGGATAGTAGAAATTGCCTTTGCACATTCTATCCTTGACCGGAATCAAACCTCGACCTTCTGGGTGAGGAGCCAACACTTTAACCACCAAGCTACCCCTCAGCGCCGTCAGATATCGTTGCTTACAACATCAATCATCGGGTCTGCTGATTCGTAATATATGTGTTAGATGTAACGAATACTTATGTAATTCAAATCAGTTAGAAGTGCGTGATGTTTTTGCTTTTAAAATTATCATTGTGGACCTTAGTAGATGCACCACAACTGCAAAATGTAAAACGCAGTGTGTGATTTGTTGAAAAACGTTGTTTTGAGAGATGGAAAACAACTTCGATTTCAGAAATTTCTCCAGCTTGATCTTTTTCATTTAGCATTGCACTAAATATATCGATTATTGTAACTTGATTGATATTCGTTGTATCGATCGTTCACCGCACTCTGTCTGTCGGTCCTTCCTTTTGTTAATGATGGCATCTAATCATAAAGATTATCATGAATATATTTTACGAATATAATTACGACGATAGCCGATAGCCGATAACGACACATACACAACCCACTGTGGGGAAGAGGCGGTGGGGTAAGATAGTGGTTGAAGCCTTCGCTCGTCACACTGAAGACCCGAGTTCGATTCCCCACACGGATACATTGAAACCCATTTCTGGTGTCCCTGCTGTGATATTGCTGGGATATTTCTAAAAGCGGTGTAAAACCCAACTCACTCACTGTAGAGAAGAAGCGGTGGCGTAGCCCAGTGGTTGAAGCGTTCGCTCGTCACGCTGAAGACCCTGGTTCGATTTCTCCCATGGGTACAATTTGAAACCCATTTCTGTTGTCCATCGCTGTGATATTGCTGGAATATTGCTAAAAGCGACGTAAAAGTCACTGTAGGGACATTGCAGCCAGGGTTTTTTCCAAAAAATATATCGACACCCATTTTTTTAAAGATGGGCCTTTACTTGTACTTGATGTGTTTAAATATTTACTTTTATAATAAACATACATAATTCACAATGATGATCCAGGTAACCTGGAGGTTTAACCGAAATTACCTGAATCAGGAACTGAAACCTGGCTAAACACTACGGTAATAACACATGTTTATCTCCATTATGCCATGACCGTCTTCGACGCAAACAATGTGTTGCTATTGATGTTAATGATTGATGGGTCGTTGACTACATATTATGCTTCAGTGGACTAGGTGATCTGGAGTTTACATCGATCCAGTCTGATGTTTTGGAACCGGCCGCGGAATATTACTGATGAAGTTTTCAGTGGGAATAAAATATGTATGTCTCCATTCTACCATGGCAGAGTTAGACGTGGACAATGTGTTGCTGTCAAAGATATCGATTGGAAAACCATTGGATGAGCTTAGCGATTGAGTGGTTTCCGATCTGAAGGAAATGAGTAAGTCAGTTTAGTTTTACACCACACTCAGCAATATTCCAGCTCTATGGCGGCGGTCTGTAAATAATCGAGTCTGGACCAGACAATCCAGTGATCAATATCATGACTATCCATCTACGCAATTACGAAACGACATGTGTCAGCCAAGCCAGCGAGCCTGACCACCCGATCCCGTTAGTCGCCTCTTACGACAAGCATGGGTTACTGAAGCATGAAGATCAATGTGTGAAGCCCATTTCTGGTGTTCCCTGTCGCGACATTGCTGGAATATTGCTAAAAGCGGCGTAAAACCATATTCACTCACTCATTAACTAATATGTCGTAGTGTCATGCTGGTGTGTGGCTCATGGATTAAGTAACTTCAGACATCATAGCGCGACCCTCCTGATAACTCTCAGTGTGTATCTCGAGTTTTTTACAAATACGTGAGTGAATTTAGTTTTACGCCGCTTTTAGAAATATTCCAGCAATAACACGGCGAGGGACACCAGAAAGGGGCTTCACACATTGTATCCATGTGGGAAATAGAACCCGGGTCGGGGCGAGCGAACGCTTTAACCAAATTTGAGGGAACGAATTTGAAAGAAAGGTTATTCCCTTACTTGTTTTGAGTAAGGTGTACTTTAGGGGGCCATAATGACCCTTTCTGGTATTTTTGAGTGAGACGCCTGCGGGTGGCATGTTTTAGCGACATGTTATTCCCTTACTTGTTTTGAGTGAGGGTATTTTAGGGGAAAGTAATACTCCTTTTTGGCACTTTTGAGTGAGAAGCCTTCGGGTGGCATATTTTAGGGAAATGTTATTCCCTTACTTGTTTCGAGTGTGGTGTATTTTAGGGCGCCATAATGCTCTTTGGGGGCATATTTGAGTGAGAGGTCTTCGGGTGGCACATTTCGGGAAATATTATCCCTTACTTGTATCGAGTGAGGTATATTTTAGGGCGCCATAATGCCCCCTTTTTGGTATTTTTGAGTGAGGTGTCTTTGGGTGGCATATTATAGCGAAATGTTATTCCTTTACTTATTTTGGGTGAGGTGTATATTTGGGGACCATAATGAGCCTTCCTGGTATTTTTGCGTGAGGGGTCTGCGGTTGGCATGTTTTAGCGACATGTTATTCTCTTACTTGTTTCGAGTGTGGTGTATTTTAGGGCGCCATAATGCTCTGCTCTTTGGGGGAAATATTATCCCTTACTCGAGTGAGAGGTCTTAGGGCGCCATAATGCCCCTTTTGGTATTTTTTGGTGAGGTGTCTTTGGGTGGCACATGTCATAGCGAAATGTTATTCCTTTACGTATTTTGGGTGAGGTGTATATTTGGGAACCATAATGAGCCTTCCTGGTATTTTTGCGTGAGGGGTCTGCGGATGGCATATATCGGGGAAATGTTTTCCCTGTTTTGAGTGAAGTTTACTCCTTCACATGCATTTCTCACGCGTTGCTATTCTGACATTGATCTGTTTTCCACGTAAACAATAGATCACAATACAACACACAGGCATGGTGATGGTGATGGACCTTGGTCTGGCATTGATTCCTGCAAGAAATGGTCGTTTTAACTAGAGCGTGTACACAGTACCATTCAACCCGAGGGTGGAAATTCCAAAGAGAATTTGAATTGTTTGTTGAATACTATTTGAATCCAAAACATCAACAATGAAGGTACATGAATTGTTATTGTATCGACATGCTCGTATGTTGCATATTGATCTGTACTGCTTCATCTTTGTTGGATGTCAATGTCTATGCATGGTGTGTTCTCTTTTTGCCTGCACTGCACTTGGCTATAAGCGGATTAGGGTTAACAGTCCAGTGCCTGCACTATTATAGTCTGTTCAAGTAAGGTGGAGTTCAGTACCCATTCACCGAGCTCGCTAGCCGACCACACTGAACACAGTTCATAATGATTAGTCAACTTAGTCATTAAAAGTAATCAAATATGATATGGTCGAGGCATGGGGTTATAAAACTGCAAAATCTGGTGGGATTGTGAAGGTGATTATTGTGTCATATGAAACAAGCAATACAATTGTATGTATTTATGTATAATGCACAGTGCACAAAAGTATATATTTCCTGGTGTAACATTTAACGCTTATTATGTATTTGCTGATTTAAAATTTAATCATATTTGCCAGACATTTTTTGTATATTTGTATACATGCAATATTGTGTATGCATATGATGTTACATGCAATATTAGTAAAATTAAAAATGTCACCATATTTTCAAATAACTCATATTCGTATATTTGCTATTGCTATATGCAATAAACAAAATGTGATAAACTTTACTGTTTACCAACAAGCGCTGGCATACTTGCTTTTCTACAACAGACTATAGCTTTAATCCCCATTGTTGTAAGGATTAGTACGGTCCAGTAATTTCAATCTCAAAACAGTACGTGCAGGCAAAAAGAGAACACCTCCTATGCATTGGTGTCCTTTCCCGAATTAAGTTATGTTAATCTGAATGCATGTGCATTGGACGAGTGTGTTTACAGATTTCCATAATGCCAAGCCATGAAGATGCACATTGGAGGACAGGGAGATGGTGTACCGTGGTCGGGGACAGGGAGATGATGTACCGTGGTCGGGGACAGGGAGATGATGTACCGTGGTCGGGGACAGGGAGATGGTGTACCGTGGTCGGGGATAGGGAGATGGTGTACCGTGGTCGGGTACAGGGAGATGGTGTAGCGTGGTCGGGGATAGGGAGACGATGTACCGTGGTTGAGGACAGGGAGATGGTGTACCGTGGTCGGGGACAGGGAGATGGTGTACCGTGGTCGGGGACAGGGAGATGATGTACCGTGGTCGGGGATAGGGAGATGGTGTACCGTGGTCATGGATAGGGAGATGGTGTACTGTGGTCGGGGACAGGGAGATGGTGTACCGTGGTCATGGATAGGGAGATGATGTACCGTGGTCGGGGATAGGGAGATGGTGTACTGTGGTTGGGGATAGGGAGATGGTGTACCGTGGTTGAGGACAGGGAGATGGTGTACCGTGGTTGAGGACAGGTAGATGGTGTACCGTGGTCGGGGACAGGGAGATGGTGTACCGTGGTTGAGGACAGGGAGATGGTGTACCGTGGTTGAGGACAGGGAGATGGTGTACCGTGGTCGGGGACAGGGAGATGGTGTACTGTGGTCGGGGACAGAGAGATGGTGTACCGTGGTCGGGGACAGAGAGATGGTGTACCGTGGTTGAGGACAGGGAGATGGTGTACCGTGGGAATGGACAGGAACAGGGAATGGAAGGAATGGAAGGAATGGACATGGAACAATGGAATGGAAGGAATGGAATGGAATGGAATGGAATGGAAATGGAAATGGAATGGATGGAATGGAATGGAATGGAATGGAAAGAATGGAATGGAATGGAATGGAATGGAATGGAATGGAATGGAATGGAATGGAATGGAATGGAAGGAGGAATGGAATGGAATGGAATGGAATGGAAATGGAATGGAATGGAAGGAATGGAAATGGAGGATGGAATGGAATGGAATGGAAGGAATGGATGGAATGGAAATGGAATAAGGAATGGAATGGAATGGATGGATGGAATGGAATGGGAAGGAATGGAATGGAATGGAATGGAATGGAATGGAATGGATGGAATGGAATGGAATGGAATGGAATGGAATGGATGGAATGGATGGAATGGAATGGAATGGAATGGAAAAATGGAATGGAATGGAATGGATGGAATGGAATGGAATGGATGGAATGAAATGGAATGGAATGGAATGGAATGGAATGGAATGGAATGGAATGGAATGGAATGAAATGGAATGGAATGGAAGGAAAATGAATGGAATGGAATGGAAATGGAAATGGAAATGGAATGGAATGGAATGGAATGGATGGAATGGAAGGAATGGAATGGAATGGAATGAATGGATGAATGGAATGGAATGAAATGGAATGGAATGGAATGAAATGGAAATGGAATGGAATGGAATGGAATGGAATGATGGAATGGATGGAATGGAATGGAATGGAATGGAATGGAATGGAAATGGAATGGAATGAATGGAATGGAATGAATGGAATGGAATGGAATGGAATGGAAGGAATGGATGGAATGGAATGGAATGGAATGGAATGGAATGGATGGAATGGAATGGAATGGAATGGAATGGAATGGAATGGAATGGAATGGAAATGGAGGATGGAATGGAATGGAATGGGCAACTGTGGTCTGGGACAGAGATGGTGTAACTGTGGTCGGGGACAGAGAGATCACGCAACCCACTGGAGGACATGGAGACGAAAACCGTGGTTGGGGACAGAGGATGGAATCAAACTGACAGAGTCTAGGAGACGACAGCAGACCGTGGTCTAGGACAGGTAGATGGTAACCGTGGTCTAGGATCATCGGAACACAGGAAACTGATGGTCTAGGACAGGAGATCACAAATCAGACAGGACAGGGAGATCGAGGGAGAACCGGACAGATCAACCCATTGGAGGATCAAAACGAACAGGAGACTACAACCGTGGTCTAGGAGATCAGGAGACTGAAAACGACACCAGGACAGGCTGAGGATCAGGAAGGAGATGACAAACAGGACAACTGGAATGGAAGGACCAGGCAGGAATGGGACAACCAGGAATGGACCACAGGAAGGACAGGAGACGACCAACAAACGGAGGACCCAGGACACAGAATCAGGAACAGACAGGAAGGAGTGACAACTGGAGGACAGGACAGGAGACGGAATGGAACCCACAGGACACAGGAGAATAGACACAGACAGGAATGGAGGAGACGATCAAACCAGGAACACGGACAGGACAGGACCCGGGACCAAGGAGGACAGGAATGGAGGACGATGGACCAGGAACAGACAGGAAACACAGACAGAACAGAACTGTGGACAGACCAGGAACAGAGACGGCACTGAACAAAATGGAGACAGACAGGAGGACACCGGACAGGAACAGACAGTGGAGAACAGACAGGAAAAGGAACACAGGAGGATGGACAGGGAGAAGGACACAGACAGGAAGGACACAAACGACAACTGGACAGGAACACAGGGACCACAGTGGAGATGGTGAATCAGGAAGCCCAGACAGGAGATGGATGTAACACAGGATGGAACCAAAATGACCATGAAATGACAGGAGGAGACGGAAAATCGGGACAGGAGGCACCAGGAATGGACAGGAGATGACAAAATGGAATGAATAGAGATGGTGGACCGGGAGAACTGAGGACAGACCAAACGAGGACAGAGGACCAAACGGAGGAGATGGAAACCCAGGAAACAAGGACACAGAGAGATGGTGGACCAGGAATGGGACAGAGATGCAGGAATGGACAGACAAGGACCTTACAGATACGTAATGGACGGACAATGGAATATCTGTGGATGGACATAGTCCATGACAGGACCACAGATGAAGAGACATGAGCAACACGACCCCAGGACAGCCGAAGGAAAATATGAAGATGAAAAGAACTGAACACAGGAAGGAAAGATTGGAATGGATTTATTTATTTTTCGTGAATAACTAGTTTAACATTTGCAATGATTCATCTGGAATTACTTTCTGAGGCCGGTTTAACACATGTAGAGCACCACCCCCTGTACCACCCCCGAAACAATAATGTCAACTTACCAACTCTAATACACGCTACGTGCAGAGCACTACAAATCATCAATCCCCATCACATCAGGTGTAGAACATACAAATGTCCAGTCTCCCATATATTAATAACATACTAATTTATTTATCCATTCCCATGGGTGATACCAAACACTCTAAACATCGAAAGAAAAATCATAGCAAATACAGGGCAATATAATACAATCGAGCGTCCTGCTACACACCTTAACCAAGTTAAAGCTTACTTAAGATAGGTTGCCAGTTCTTTGGACTAGAAAAGTCTGCTGCATTAATGTAGGTTCCATTTGGTACCAGGGAATTATAATCTGCCCCTCCCCGAACAACTGGAACAATGTTATGAGCATATACTTTGAACAACTTCTCTGTGATGTAATCAACGCAAAATGAATTTTCAAATGATAAATAAAACCTATATTGGTTGTACAAAAAACCGCACTTCGGTCCTCTACATTTTAATGGCCCACATCTTCCATAGATGTCCACAGAGATATGCTTACGTAGTTCTTTCACATACTGTTGCCGTTTGGATTGTGTGTTGCAGTTACTGACAAACCAGAGGACCGACTTCGTTTTATTCAGAGCAATTTGAGAAAAATTAACTTTCGGTGGTTGCTGCTGCTGATAAAGGACATTGTAAGGCAAGATGACGTCAGAGTCGAGACGATACGTCATGGTCCAGTTGAACACGTGACGCCATTGTTCTGATAGATATAACTGATTGTTGTAATAATAGGGACACTCTAATCCGAACATGATCCACACTTGGTTGGTTTGTTTAAGTGGAGGGGTTCTATACTTCAGTTCAACACCATCGAAGATGACAGCATCCGCTCTCTCCGTTTGCTTGGGATCATATGAACATTGACAGTTTTTCTGTGGACACTCTTGTATACCTTGTTGACAAGTGTTCCTCAGAGTGTCACCTGTAAACCATCTTGGGGGATTATGAAAGAGTATCAGCTTAGACTTGGTGCTTGTTACTGGACGGTATCCACGAGTGAAATCCACGCTGTAGGATGCCCTCTGTCTGTAGTCCGAAGAATGAAACGAGACTGGTTTATAGAAATAAGGTAACGTACTTATGGGACCGAACGCCATTTTGTACCCAGGTTCCAATACGTTGCTATTGGTAGTTCTTCCTTCGTTATTGGCCGGGATATCTGTTCGTGGCGCTATCCAGAGTCCAGTCGGCACCAAACTGGACTCATTGTAGTAAAGCATTGCTGTTCCAAACATTACTGTGGCAATTAGCAAAGCTAGGCAGTACTTTAATTTCTGTTGAGTCGTCTGAAACTGAAAATAATAGCATGTACAAGCGATGTACCAGATAAATAATTCTATTACTCTTAACACTTTTACCAATATTCCAGCAATATCACGGTGGGGGACACCAGAAATGGGCTTCACACATTGTACCCACGTGGGGAATCGAACCCGGGTTTTCGGCGTGACGAGCGAACGCTTTAACCACTAAGCTACCCCACCGCCCCGCCCCTTTTGGAAAAAGAAGCAGCCTTATTTTTTGAGTTGCTGTATCTATTTTTTTAACTAATTAGTTGAGACTTAAGTGGAACAATGTGACAACATGTTTAGCCTTTACACAAGAGTTAGAAGATGGAAAGCTGACGTAACTGCAACATGTACTTTAGTTCTTACTGTGTGCAATTCAATATTGTTATTTCATATAAATAGGTTAATGAACAGTGATTAATTTTACCTTAGAAGTAAAAGTGACAATCTTAATGAAAATGATTGATATATTTTATGAACTGGATATGCACACATTTTTAAAGGAATTGTCTTGTTCACTGAATTTGTTAATGTCGTTTTATGGACGAAACAATGATGTGTAAAGATTGGCCAGGGGCGCGTTTGTCACAAACGTTTTACGATTCACTCGTTGTTGGTAATAGAATCAATTCATATTGGAAAACAATAACTGTCTAACTGTAACTATATCTCTACAGAAATGGTAAAAAATAATTCAAACTATGCCATATCTTCCTGTGGCCAAACTTTACTTCATTACTTTGATATTTCCATACAAAAAAAAGTGTCTTTCTGCATCTTTCGGTGCATACTTAGGGACCGTTCATAATTTAAGGCATGTGGGGATGATGATGATTTTAAGGGGAGGTTGGGCGGTCATTACTCTTGAACACATGCACTACAAGGGAGTGAATGAGTGTGTGAATTTAGTTTAACGCCGCTCTCGGCAATGTTCCAGCTATATGGCGGCGGTCTGTAAATAATCGAGTCTGGACCAGGCAATCCAGTGATCAACAGCATGAGCATCGATCTGCGCAATTAGGAACCGATGACATGTGTCAACCAAGTCAGCGAGCCTGACCACCCGATCCTGTTAGTCGCCTCTTACGACAAGCATGGGTTACTGAAGATTATTCTAACCCGGACCTTCACGGGTATACTAGAAGGGAGTTCAGCAATTTTGTACATGACATGCGGGGTTGGGGGGTGTCACTTATTTTGCACATAGATTTTAGGGGGGAAGGGGGTCAATCACATTGTACATGCTTCTCAATACATATCAGTATAATCACCACCACCCATAATTTATGAACGGCCCCTTATGGAGAGTGTGTGAGTGAGTTTAGTTTTACGCCGCACTCGGCAATATTCCAACTATATGGCGGCGGTCTTTAAATAATCAGATCTGGACCAGACAATCCTGGGATCAACAGCATGAGCATCGAACCAGGCAACTGGGATACAATGACATTTGTCAACCCAGTCAGCGAGTCTGACCACCCGGTCGCGTTATTCACCTCTTACCACAAGCATGGGTTGCTGAAGACCAATTCTAACCCGGATCTTCACGGGTAAGATTATGAAGAGAGATAGACACACGATCATAAATAAACAAAAGTCTTATCCTAAAACATTGAAACATATATTTGTGTGTTATGAAATATTCTTATTCATTTACGTTAATTTGATGCCAAACAGATGCGCGTGTTGTCCACATTACCATACACAGCCAACCATAACTGTTTATCTATTCGAGCGGGGAGATAACTCACAAAAGTAACTACGGACAAGTTTGAGTCTCTTGCACTGAAAATTTCAACCTTAGTAAAGTATCCTTCCAGAGTTAAAGTTGACCAAAGTATGCTTTGAGGAACGGACGTAAATTTTTGCTAAGGTTGCCTTTAGGGTTTACCTTAGTCACTAAGTTCAACCTTAGTAAAGGTTGTTTTGTACAAGGGCACCGGACCCATGAAGATCCGGGCTAGAATTGATCTTCAGTAACCCATGCTTGTCGTAAGAGGCGACTAACGGGATCGGGTGGTCAGACTCGCTGACTTGGTTGACACTTGTCATCATGTCCCAGTTGCGTAGATCGATGCCCATGCTGTTGATCACTGGATTGTCTGGTCCTCAGGAATTGTGCTCACCGTTACTCGACCCGGATCATTCTCTCGGGAAGGCATGTGGATTGATAACCTGTTGCTCGTGGTGCTTGCCTTTGCTTGGAATCTGTAACTATAAAAACAAACCCATAATGCTCTTTTTCATGGACACCATATTCACAATGCCACATAGCTGTTAATTTAGTAAAGGAGTTGTACCTCCTCGGAACCAATGATACAAATATTGCTTGGTGCATTGTCTGGTGAGAGTACCCTTAGAATTGGTCTTCAGCAACCCATGTTTGTCGTAAGCCCAGGCGACTAACGGGATCGGGTGGCCAGGCTCGCTGACATGGTTGACACTCTTTTGCGTAGATCGACGCTCACTGGAAGATCACTGGATGGTCTGGTCCAGCCTCGATTATTTGCTCACTGCAGCCATATAGCTGGAATATTGCTGAGCGCGGGGTTAAACAACAAACAAACAACAGCCAAACTTGTGGAACTGATGGCTGAAGAAGGGCTTGATATTGCAGAGCTTTAGTGATACGTAAAAGGTGTGATGTCAGTTTTTTCTCTTTTTCCTGTTTCTCGATTTATATTTTCTGAGATAAACGATAGTTTTGCTGGAAGCCATGAAGATATATTCGCATAGAAAAAGCTGCCATGACCAGCAAATTTAGAAAACTATACTGGCTAGCCAACAGTTATCGCCATATTTTAGTGGGATTTACAAAATTACTCCGCCGTTTGTTAAAATTAATGAAACAGAATTAATTGTGATACTTAATTAGCTATTCACCGATGTGTTAGAAAAAATCCCGGAATTGTAATTGACCGGAACTGCGCACGTGTGATACTGTACGCGAGAAATTACAGGAAAAAAGAGATACCCCGAAAACATGGTACGGCACGGTATTGGCGATAACTGTTCGCTAGCCAGTACGGAAATGGAATTTTGTTCGATAACAACCTGACACCGCTCCAGATACAGTATGTATTTTTATTCACCTGACCTTCACCTCAAAGAAATTTCCAAATATGTACAACATTGTACTTGTATGCAAGTGGCCGACCGACATTGGGAAGATGGGATTTTCAGACCCTTCAAGATTCAGGGATCTTATATTCTGGACGAAAATGAGTCACGCACACTTCAAAATCTGACAATCTTCGTATTGTTGTTTGAGTTCATATTTTGCACTGTAACCCAGAAAATTAGTTAGAAGAGCTGATACGGCGTCTCACACTTCGACACTTCCTGTTAAATTTACCAAATCATGTTTCTAAAGATATATTTTTCCTGTTTAAACCAATGTTTGCACATTTATTGACTGATGCATAGTGAACATTTACAGATATGGAGGCACTCAAATTATTTCAAATTAAAACAATCTTTTCATGGCGATGTTTTGCGGCATGATCAGCATGAAGTATGATGTGTATATCGGTTTCTTGATGACTGCAAGGGACACGTGTAAAGTCATATTCATCACGTTTTGACAATAACAGGTTTCAACTTTTGAACAGTAACAGTTGGCTCTTCTGATATTGCTGTAACACATGCTCCTACAGGTGCCAACAGGTCATATTTTGTACCAGTGCGAAAGCATCCATTCATCTAAATTTCCACACGTGACTGTCGCCTAATGTACACTCTGATCTACGTCACCCATGCTTGCAGTAACAGTCTGCAAACGGGATCGGGTGGTCAGGGTCGCTGACTTAGTTGACACAATATTTTTTTCTGCGTCCATTCTCTTCATTTGTGAGAACTAGCGCACATTTGAGCGTCGCGTAAAACCCTGCATCGTATCCCAATGAAAAATGTCCACTAATAAGCATTCATAAAAGCGGTGAACGCAAATTCTTTCCAAAGCATCCTGGTACGTCTCTCTTCATGTCTATTTGGTACAACCCACATGGGTAAAATGTGTGAAGCCCATTTCTGGTGTTCCCCGCCGTGATATTGCTGGAATATTGCTAAAAGCGACGTAAAACCCAACTCACTCACTCACTTTTTAGTACAAGTGTCGGCTTCGCAGCACGCCTCCATCCCAAATGGGTAGAACCACCCCCAATGCTATTGATCACTGGATTGTCTGGTCCAGACTCGATTATTTACAGAATTCTGCAATATTGCTGGAGTATTGCTGAGTGCGGTGTTAAACAATACCCAAACCCAAACCAAACTCATGTGGTTTAACGTCAAAAACGTCAAAAACGTCAAAAGCCTGGATCTCTTTGGGTTCCACTCCCATCAAAAAATGATTACGGAAACAAACTGAACTGGTGTCTTGGGCGGCGTTTGAAACCCGACTTAACAATCCAAGGAACCGTGATGAATCTATTTCGAAATTGGTCTTCAGCAACCAATGTACTGGTCGTAAGAGACGACGAAAGGAATCGGGTGGCCAAGCTCGCTGACTTGGTTGTTACATGTCATCGTATCCCAAATGCATACATGAAATATTTTGTCAGTCACTGGATTGTCTGATCCAGGCTTGATTATTTTCAAAAGCAGTCATGCATCTGGAATATTGCTGATTGTAGAATGAAACAAGAAACAAACAAACCCTCGAACTGAGAGATTGTCTCAACACAAGATAACCATGTTAATGTATGGCACTTACGACTATCTTAGCGCTAAGAGCGCTTCGAAAATCTAGGCCCAGGTGTTGATTTGGGAATTTTACGTGCGCTTCGAAGGCTTGTCGCACAGCGATGATTGTTAACCGGAAGTGCTCCTGAAAGTGGAGGTGAGCAAAGTGTTCAGTCTGTGACTCGTTTTATATGAAGAAACATACAAGACAAATCTGAAGAGCCGCTTGTATTTCTGGTCATATACCATTGAAGCTATAGCCCCAGTATCATTTGCAACAACGGTGGTTTTACAAACACGTTACTTGATCACAATCTCACGACAGTGTGTGTGTGTTTTTGTCACTGCGCGGAGCTGTCAAAATGTGAACATGGCGGCGCCCATTTTGATTTCACAACACGTGATGTCATGGCACTTTCTGGATGAAACCAGATAAATCTACCTAGAACAAGAATACTGCTCACAACTTAAGACTTGACCGTGAACACTGAAAGGTATTATCACAACTTCATCCATATTTATGTGCTCGTTTTCGCAATTTTATTCAAACATTTACGTAATAGAGTGAATCTCGATGGTCGACCATGTGGTCATGACAGAAAAACTGGAACATTTATGGTTTTATTGACAAACTTTGTGGATGACTTCTTTTATTTTGTGAGTGCGACGTCACCAGTTAACCATAAAATTTGTCATTATTGTATTGCCCAACTAAAATACCACTCCAGTTGTTTTTTTATGATTCTGTCATGTTCACGTCTGTTCATATTTCAGCGGAACAATTCCCCAAAGTTAGAAAGAAAAAGACTTGCACACTACTCAATACAGTTTTACACAGGTGAGATGCTGACTTTTATTCACGTTAGTTGAATTTCTTCTCACTTTGTTCTCACACTCTGTGCTGTCCATGTATGGGAGTCTCATTCTTTTGAGCACCACATATGCCTCTTTTCACAGTGTTATTGTTTATATACTGGCTAGAGAACAGTTATGGCCGTGTAACAGTTATTGCTAATATATCAGTAGGGAAAAGAGTTCCTTCTGTTCCCCCGGAGAAAGGAAGGTCGTGGGTTGGATCCCCGACCGCGTCATACCAAAAGACGTTAAAATATGGTACTTGTTGGTCCCTGCCTGGCGCTCGGCATTAATCGGTACAACAAGGACTGGTCGGCTCGGAGTCAGTATAACGTGTCTGAGTGGGGTATTCATGCTTCACTGCGGCTTGGTATCTCAGTGGGCTAGCACTATAAAACCAGCTTCAGTCTGGGCTAGTACAAGCAGCCGCACCTACACATATGAGCGAAATATTCTCCAGCTCGACGTTAAACACAATTTCACCTCACCTCCTTCTGTTCCCCCATATTTTTTTTTTAACATTACCGTGCCTGGGGCCCTTAGCATTGTAATGGTTCGACCCTATATATTGTAATTAATGTTTGGGCTTTTAGTTATTTTTGTGAGTTTAAATAAACAACATAATTAACATTGGAAAGTCAACTGGACACTGGTACAGTGTGATATACAAATTTGCTTGCCCGACAGAAAAAATCACTGGACTCGGACAATGGGTTATTTCCAGCCCTGGTCCGGCAGAAATCGAGCCCGTCGGACGGGCCTGATTTCATACACTGTTAATAGTTTCATAATATCTGAATAATATTTCAGTTGTTCTTATACCAGTTATTCAGAAGGTATCAGTGATAGTTTAGATTGTCCACACATTGGACTCCAAGTATAATCATACCAGTTATTCAGAAGGTATCAGTGATAGTTTAGATGTCCTCAATGGAAGCTAGTTGTTCTTATACCAGTTATTCAGAAGGTATCAGTGATAGTTTAGATTGTCCTCAATGGAAGCTAGTTGTTCTTATACCAGTTATTCAGAAGGTATCAGTGATAGTTTAGATTGTCCTCACATTGGAGTCCAAGTATAATCATACCAGTTATTCAGAAGGTATCAGTGATAGTTTAGATGTCCTCAATGGAAGCTAGTTGTTCTTATACCAGTTATTTAGAAGGTATCAGTGATAGTTTAGATTGTCCTCACATTGGAGTCCAAGTATAATCATACCAGTTATTCAGAAGGTATCAGTGATAGTTTAGATGTCCTCAATGGAAGCTAGTTGTTCTTATACCAGTTATTTAGAAGGTATCAGTGATAGTTTAGATTGTCCTCACATTGGAGTCCAAGTATAATCATACCAGTTATTCAGAAGGTATCAGTGATAGTTTAGATGTCCTCAATGGAAGCTAGTTGTTCTTATACCAGTTATTTAGAAGGTATCAGTGATAGTTTAGATTGTCCTCACATTGGAGTCCAAGTATAATCATACCAGTTATTCAGAAGGTATCAGTGATAGTTTAGATGTCCTCAATGGAGGCCAGTTCTTATACCAAATGTTCAGAAGGTATCAGTGGTAGTTTAGAATGTCCTCACAATGGAGGCCAAGTGTTATCATACCAGTTATTCAGAAGGTATCAGTGATAGTTTAGAATGTCCTCAATGGAGGCCAAGTGTTCCTTTTTGAAATCTTCAGAAGGTATCTGTGGTCGAGTGACTCTGTGGGGTTTCTTATTTTCTTGACATCTGATTTTTCATTGTAAAAATATTTTTCACTCTGAAAGCCTGTCTTAATGTAAGCTCTAGCTTTCTTCAGATAAATGCCCAATTTCTTTCCTCTGTTCCCAGATATTTAGAGATTTCTGTTGTCATTACAGAAGGTAGCCTGTCTCTTGTCACGAACTATTGTGTAACTTATATCCTGATAGAATGGGAAGTGGAAATATTTTGTGTGAGAAAATGTTCCCAAACCTTCACAAAATATGATTTTGCACACAATATTGACTTACCTTGTTGTACGTCAGTAACTTCCAGTGAGGCTGTTTTATCTGGTGGGCAGTTAAAGAGAAAAACCTTGGTTTATTGAATAAATGGTGGCAACAGGTTGTAATAATGTGAAACAAGGTTGGTTGAAGAAATTAGAGATGAGTACTTATTTTTTGTAGAATCTTTTAAACTGTGTTGTCATAGCCTATACCTTTTTGAACAGTATGTCTGTGAGACAGGTTTTATTACCTTTGATTGGTTTCTTTCTCTAAGCTATTACTGATCATCTTGAAACAAGTAGCAGTGTATGAAATAAGCCAAAAAACCAGCCCAACATCTGGGCTGGTAACTTCAAAAACCTACCAGCCCAGAAGAGATTTAACCAGTCCTTCTTAGATACTAAATAGACAGTGCCAGTGGACATGTTATCCGAATAATTTTTTCCACCCGTCCATCGGGCTGGCTTGCTGTAAAATTAGACCATCCGCAGAGATGGAAATAACTTTAAAATTGCTAGTGTACTCCGGTACAGTGGCACATGTAAAATCACTTGCCCTAAAAATTGTTCCACTATACCGTCCGTTTTCTTGTTGATTTTTTAAATAAACAACATAATTAACATTGGAAAGTCAACTGGACACTGGTACAGTGTAATATACAAATTTGCTTGCCCGACAGAGAAAATCACTGGACTCGGACGTTGGGCAATGGGTTATTTCCACCCCTGGTCCGGCAGAAATCGAGCGTCTCTGGCGGTCAGACGGGCCTTATTTCATACACTGTTAATAGTTTCATAATATCTGAATAATATTTCACTTGTTGTAAAAATGAAATTTTGAGTAAATTATTGGAGGGACGGTGGGGTAGCAAGCAAACAAGACTAAGTTATATCAATAAATTGAACAGCGTGAAGGAAATGTCTGAAAGGGTCCGTTGTTCAGGACTCACCGAGTGATTGTTTGCCATTTGTTCACAATTGTATAATGGATTTAGAAATCCCAAATGTCAATGTGATATTTTCCATTTTTCAGTCGAAGGACAAAGTGATCATGGACACCACCATGTCAGATGTTCGAGAACTGTTTGGAGGATGTCTGTCAGCTATTTTGCCACCCGGTGTCAAAGATGTCAGGTAAAATTATTTGTTAGTATGCAATATAAACATGTGACTGACACACACCAATCAATTGTTTCAGTGCCAGGGCGGTGTGGCAGCCAAGTGGTTAAAGTGTCCTCTTGTCATGCCAAAGGTCTGAGTTCGATTCCCCACATAGGTACAATGTGTGAAGCCGATTTCTGCTGTTCCCAAAAAACGGCTTAAAACCACACTCACATTTGTATCTGCTATAAAGGCCAGACCATTTTTATTTCTTGTTTTACGGATCCACCGGTCGTATTGTTTCAAGAATAAGAAAAAAATATATAATAATTTTCGCTGCTCCAAAGTAAAATTCTCATGTTTTTATTGGCCAAAAACGTGAACTTACAAGAAAAAGTTTTTTAGATTGTCTTTTGCCACATATACACTTCATAAATTGCCAAGAGTAAAATACTTTCATCATTTAAAAGGAATATTACTTTGACTGGTGATTTTTTAATTATTTTTTTCCCCTCCTGCCTTTAGGTTTTCTGAGGACAAAAATTTGTAAAACAAGAAATAAAATTGGTCTTGCCTAATTTAAGTAAAACATAATTACAAATGTTTTAGAATTTAATCTGTAAAATAAAAACTTAAGTGTATTGATATGTGAGGTGGTTAACCCTTTCAACACCGCAGGCCGCTTAACCCATTCAACACCGCAGGCCGAATAATCGGCCAGGCAGAAGTCACGTCAAAATGAGACATAATTTTAGGAACCTACCTGACTTTTGATTCATATATCAAATCTATCACATTTCACAATGTCTGAAAACACTTATTAAATTTCAATTTATCATATATTATCAGCAGAATTAAAATTATAAACTATTTTTCGCAATATTATTGAAAACAACGATTCTCGGACACATGCTTCGGCAGCGGGTCCACAGTAACATTGTCAAAAAGCAAAGTAACGATGTTTCGAGGAAATTATTAAATAAATTGAATAAACTAATGAATAAAATCAACAACAGCATTCATAAAAGTTGTCAAACGTACATATAAAATTACTATTTCCATCTTTTTGTGCGATCATGTAATGCAAGTCAAGTCACTGACAAGTGACATCTCGGCTCTCACCGCCTCAATCTTCACGCTCGGACACGATGTTTAATGCGAAAATACATACATGAAGCATTTTTGTCACAGGTCATAACCTAGCACGATACGTCCAATAAGTTCCATAATTTACGTATTGGTAGCGATTTCTTGCTTAATATGTTCAGAATAGCATTATTTTACCCAAAACTTTTGTCCAAATCTGAAAGATTTCGCTCATTAGGAGGACGGTATCCATTGCCGTAATATGATTGGCTGCCTTAGGTCACGTGTCTGATTTTGACCAATCACAACCCTTATAGCAGACTGTGGCTAAAAAGCCCATTAGAAACCAATCTTTATCCAATAAAATCGCTTCTTACAACTGTGAAAAATACTCTTGGCAAGGGTACAGTGATATTGTTGATGTTCAGAGCTTTCTAACGATGCCCGACATCAAACGATTTGCCGCCGCATGTTATTCATAATGGAAGCTTCAAAACGGAGGTATTTTCAGTTGTTATGTCATTTTACCGAGCGGAAAGCCGCAGATATCGGGAAATAGGCTGACCATACATATTATTTAAGAAATCTTTTTATAATAATTTTCTGATTACGTAAAAATGAAAATATAAAAGAAAAAAGGCACGGGCAATTTATGACATGTCACAAATGGAAAAAATCGCCATAGTTTTTGCTCCTTTCGTGGTTTATCTGGACGTTACAAATGTAAGCTTGCATTTTCATTCAAAAATGCATTTATTTAAGTTGTAGTTGTATTATTTGAATAATATTATAAAAATAAACTTCATATTTATCAACAGTAGGATTAGATCTTTTAAATGGTGTATGGGATGTAGTAGCAATAACGTTTTACAAGCTTATAATTTCCTTCATAAACATAGACTTCATCTATGACCTCAGAGTCTCTGGGAACTCGGTGTCATGGCAGTAAATGCCTCTGGTTGACTGGTGTTGAAAGAGTTAAGCGGCCACAACGTTATGAGTCCCCAGACACCGGAGGCCGCTTAAGCGGCCAGGCAGTGGTCACGCCAAAATGAGACATAATTTTAGGAACTTACCTGACTTATGATTCATATATTAAATCCATCACATTTCACAATGTCTGGAAACACTTATTAAATTTCAATTGATCATATATTATCGGCAGAATTAAAATTATAAACTATTTTTCGCCAAGGTAATTGAAAACAACGATTCTCGACACATGCTTCGGCAGCGGGTCCACAATAACATTGTCAAAAAGCAAAGTAACGACGTTTTGAGGAAATGATTAAATAAATAGAATAAACTAATGAATAAAATCAACAACAGCATTCATAAAAGTTGTCAAACGCATATATAAAATTACTATTTCCATCTTTTTGTGCGATCATGTAATGCAAGTCAAATCACTGACAAGTGACATCTCGCTCACCACCTCAATCTTCACGCCGACACGATGTTTAATGCGAAAATATATGCATGAAGCATTTTTGTCACAGGTCATAACCTAGCACGATACGTCCAATAAGTCCCATAATTTACGATTGGTAGCGATTTCTTGCTTAATATGTTCAGAATAGCATTATTTTACCCAAAACTTTCGTCTAAATCTAAAAGTTTTCGCTTTTGAGGACGTTATCCATTGCCGTAATATGATTGGCTGCCTTAGGTCACGTGTGTCTGATTTTGACCAATCACAACCCTTATAGCAGACTGTATAAAGCATTAGAAACCAATCTTTATCCAATAAAATCGCTTCTTACAACTGTGAAAATACTCTCGGCAAGGGTTCAGTGATATTGTTGATGTTCAGAGCTTTCGATGATGCCCGACATCAAAATTTGATGTTATTCATACGAAGCTTCAATTTTCAGTTGTTATGTCATTTTACCGAGCGAAAGCCGCAGATATCGGGAAATAGGCTACACATATTATTTAAGAAATCTTTTATAATAATTTTCTGATTACGAAAATATAAAAGAAAAAGGCATCGACATGTCACAAATGGAAAAAATCGCCATAGTTTTGCTCCTTTCGTGGTTTATCTGGACGTTATAAATGTAAGCTTGCATTTTCATTCAAAATAATTTTATCTAAGTTGTAGTTGTATTATTTGAATAATATTATAAAAATAAACTTCATATTTATCAACAGTAGGATTAGATCTTTTAAATGGTGTATGGGATGTAGTAGCAATAACGTTTTACAAGCTTATAATTTCCTTCATAAACATAGACTTCATCTATGACCTCAGAGTCTCTGGGAACTCGGTGTCATGGCAGTAAATGCCTCTGGTTGACTGGTGTTGAAAGAGTTAAGCGGCCACAACGTTATGAGTCCCCAGACACCGGAGGCCGCTTAAGCGGCCAGGCAGTGGTCACGTCAAAATGAGACATAATTTTAGGAACTTACCTGACTTATGATTCATATATTAAATCCATCACATTTCACAATGTCTGGAAACACTTATTAAATTTCAATTGATCATATATTATCGGCAGAATTAAAATTATAAACTATTTTGCGCAAGGTAATTGAAAACAACGATTCTCGGACACATGCTTCGGGAGCGGGTCCACAATAACATTGTCAAAGAGCAAAGTAAGGACGTTTTGAGGAAATGATTAAATAAATAGAATAAACTACTGAATAAAATCAACAACAGCATTCATAAAAGTTGTCAAACGTACATATAAAAATTACTTTTTCCATCTTTTTTGTGCGATCATGTAATGCAAGTCAAATCACTGACAAGTGACATCTCGGCTCTCGCCGCCTCAATCTTCACGCTCGGACACGATGTTTAATGCGAAAATATATGCATGAAGCATTTTTGTCACAGGTCATAACCTAGCACGATACGTCCAATAAGTCCCATAATTTACGTATTGGTAGCGATTTCTTGCTTAATATGTTCAGAATAGCATTATTTTACCCAAAACTTTCGTCTAAATCTAAAAGTTTTCGTTTACGAGGACGTTATCCATTGCCGTAATATGATTGGCTGCCTTAGGTCACGTGTCTGATTTTGACCAATCACGACCCTTATAGCAGACTGTAGCGAAAAAAGCGCCATTAGAAACCAATTTTTATCCAATAAAATCGCTTCTTACAACTGTGAAAATACTCTCGGCAAGGGTTCAGTGATGTTGTTGATGTTCAGAGCTGATGACGTAAAAATGAAAATATAAAAGAAAAAGGCACGGGCATGTTATCACATGTCACAAATGGAAAACCATAATTATTTAAAAATCTTTTTTAGTTTTGCTTCTTGAAAATATAAAAGTGGTTTATCTGGTCACAAATGGAAAAATCGTTATAAATGTAAGCTTGCATTGTTTGCATTCAAAATAATTTTATCTAAGTTGTAGTTGTATTATTTGAATAATATTATAAAAATAAACTTCATATTTATCAACAGTAGGATTAGATCTTTTAAATGGTGTATGGGATGTAGTAGCAATAACGTTTTGCAAGCTTATAATTTCCTTCATAAACATAGGCTTCATCTATGACCTCAGAGTCTCTGGGAACTCGGTGTCATGGCAGTAAATGCCTCTGGTTGACTGGTGTTGAAAGAGTTAAGGATGGCTGAAAAAAACTATCAGAAATATCGTTGGTGAAAAAAATTATTAATGGAGTATTATGAAAATTGCTTCATAAAGAAAATGATGTATAAATTACTCTGATTTCTGATGAAATAACGTTTTAGTTTATTAAGACAAGGTCAGTTTTTAATTTTTTTTAAAAACCGAACAAAATCTTTTGATTGCTATTTTTCCTTTAGATTGCATCTTTGAGGTTTGTTTTAAGTTGCCTGAAATGTAGTGCTAAAGTGTGCTTAGTTCAGAGGACAAAACACAAAAATAGCGAGGGAAGGTGGCGCCATTCTTTTCACATGACCTGCGTGTACTTGTACAGTGCGCCATATGAAATGTTAGTTGGCGAAGGGTGCAAGCACGTGGCCTAGAATGAACACTGAACATATTATGAATGGGTGAACGGGAATGGAATATGATTATTCTACTCAAACTTTTCAAAAATTAAATTTAGTACACATGTTAGCAGGTCTGTTATTGAACATTTCAGTGAACTGCGAGAGATTCCAGACAACCAAGAGGTGTTTGTCCACCCTATGACTGACCAGAGCCTCATCATCGAGATCTTGGAGTATGTGGAGGAGCCGGATGAACAAGCAATCAGGTTAGATTGAGTGGCTTGGTGGTCTCTGTTAATGCAGACAATGGTCCCATTTTATGATATTACTAAAAGCAGGATAAAACTTTACTTTCGGATGATGTGCTGCAGGGGTTCCACTCATTTCCCCACCCGGTCATTTCCCCAACAAGTCAATTCACCACCCGGACAATACATGTACGTCTTAAAATCCATGAACAAAATCTATCGGCAATCGACAGATATACATGTCGCCACCTTGAGGCGTGAGCCGCGCTGGTTTGTTGATTGGATCAGTTAGCTATACCAATTAACTTCTCATTGACTGACATCGGCTTATGTACCGTATATTACCGTCTATAAGACGACCCCCAAACTTGACCCTTAAAATCAGTGTCAAAATGGTATGTTTCGTGCATAAGTCGATCCCCCTGCGATGGGGTCTGCGGCAAACACAGACAACTGGCAGTTACCAATAATTATAACTTTGGTCCACATTATTCAAAGAATTCACAATCATATATATTGCGTCTACTCACGGATCGAAACGAATTGTAGTTGACAGAAAATGCATATTTTTCCTTATCCTGACTCATGCTTATTGCTTGTCTCCCTTTCCTTCTGAATGCTAGTGGAACACTTGAATCCCCTTTTGAAGCTCCCTTCAAAAAAGCGGACGTAAAATCACTTACCAGGAGTCCCCTCCCTTGCCAGGTTTTGGCGGGAACGGCGCCACCTGTCTGCCATGCTCTTCACTCTCTCCTGATTCGCCTGAGTGGGCGGTTGTGAGAGCACCTGGTCCCCTATACGGCTTTATATCCTTTTATTATTTAGGCTTTTCTTCTAAATTAGCTGTATAAGGCTTTAGCTTACATTTACCTACAATATTGTACGGAATTAATTCTCAAATTTCTCCGTTTTTGTCACGTTTTTACGTGATTATTCACATTGTTTACAATTGATGAAATCTTGTTCTGGTTGTAGGTATCGTTTGTCTGCTGTTGATCCTCATAACCTATGTCCTAATTGCAAGCCTATATATTTATCTGACACTTCGTTGTCAGTTGTGTCTTCATCTGTCTGCAGAGCTACAGATAACTTTTTGGGTCATTGAGTTATGTACTCGCTTGTGTTCATCTCAACTGGGTATCCTAATCTTCCTTTGAGTAACCTAATAAATTATACCCACCTCACTCAAACTCAATTGGGTATTTTGCCATTTTCCATTATTTGTGAAAACAGAATAAAGTTTAAATGTTGGTTAACGTGTGTGTTGTTTATATTTGATCTGTAATATGAGAAAAGATGAGAAAGACTGCATGTTGCCAAGTTCATGTGCCGAAATAGAACCTCTAAATATACCTCTGAGTCAGTTATTCTATCTTTCTTCATAACATCCATCTGTAGCATGGGTCAGCTTACTTCAAATTCTAGTAGGTTTGTTGAGTACGCAAGCTAGGATTTGACATCTTTGTGTGTACACATGTTAGGTCATATTTATGGAGTATTTACAAAACTTCAAGCGTACTTGTACGCAATACACGTGAAAGGAATTGAGTTTTCACATAAATGTTTGCGTAATTTACGCAGATACGCAGCTTATCTGTACCTCTGGTCTGATATTGCATTTTATAAATATTCATATTATCTGTCTAGACGTTCAAAGGACAGGTCCAGACGAGAATTACACGACATGTCTAAACCGGCTAAGCTTGCAGAGGAGTTGGTGTCTACGCAGATACACCATTCCAGTGGTCTACCGGGGTCGTCTACGGAGGAGGTTGCCGCCATAGACAACGCTGGCTCGAGGAAGAGGTCATCTACATCTGAGACACCCTCTTCGCAGTCTAAGAAGACTAGGGCATCATCTTCCCAGAGGAAGGAGGCAGCTACAACGAAGACTTTGGCGAAGTCTCCACACGGGGCATCGCAGAAGACGAGGTCCTTTTCAGCTGAGATCGTCCCTCTGGAAGAAGTAGATGTCTATGATGAGCCGCCCATCCTCATCCCTGAGATCACATCTAAGAAGAAGACGAAGACGTCTTCTACAGTGACCACGCAGGACAACCGATCAATGCAGACGTTCGGCACGAAGGATCAACGCCCTTCGGAAGAAGCCTCATCTGTCTCAGATGCGTCGTCAGTACAATACACAACGCAGACCTTCAACCCGGGCACCTTTATGCAGCAGATGTTAGACCTGATGGAACAACGGTTCGCACGAGAGAGAGCTGAGACGAAGACTACATCTGCGACGAACCCGAGTGAAGGTCAACTGAGCAGCACATCACGTCCGTTGGGAACCAACGTCCTGCAGAGCATACAGGAAGATTCCAGCTCGACTACAGCGTGCACGAATACCTAGCAGCCATACCAACATGGAATCCGCACCAACTACGTTCGGCGGAAGGACCAGACGTTTGCCGAACCCATGCAGATCATCGGCGTCAGATACGGACGTTCGTCACAAACCTGCCCACAACGGTTCGTTACCAAGGAGAAGAAAATCACCGTCCGTCCGAAGGTCTGGCAGTCCTACCAACGTAGAGCCTACACCAGTTACGTTCGGCAAACACTCAAGGACAAGACGTTCGCCGAACCCACGCAGATTGTCATCTACCTCAGATGCGGACATTCGTCACGAACCCGCACGCAAGGGTTCGTTACCAAGGAGAAGAGAATCTACACCCGTGCGAAGGCACAGAGATTCGTCACAAGACTCCAACCCTCGACAGAGCTGTTCACCTACAACGCAGGTTCGCGTGAACGTATGGTTCGCCACGAAGCTCACCACGCAGGTCTCCATACAGATCACCACATAGATCTTCATACAAATCGCCTTACAGATCTCCAGACACTAGAAGAGATAAATCCTCAGAGCATGATACTGCTAAATCGGAAGATGACAGCGGAATTATTTATTTCTTTGCTGACTCTGAAATCAAGTCATGGATGGCCAACGGTTTGGAACTCGCATCACCCTCTAAGGAGGCCAATGAAGCACTCTCGTACTTGATGTTGAATGATAATATAGACACTCACGATTCCACCTATCGACCCTGTCTCACATTAACCAGACACAGTAACCAGACGAACCTTCTTCGGCCTAGCCAGGTCAAGAGCTATCAACGAGACCCTCATCTCGATCATGCAGATCTTCAGGCAGGTCTTCAGGCAGATTTTCAGACTGATCTTCAGAAAGGATTCAGGGTCGTCAAAAAAGATATATCTACATCAGAAGAGGTTAGCCGGATTAACTGCACAAAAACTCTCCTCGACTCGGAGAACCTACACATTCATGAAGTTTAACCCCCTGGCTGCCACATAGAAATAACCGTGTGTTGTCGCTGTGCCGAGTTTATTTGAGCGAGACGTTATGAAAACTGCATACATTCGTCTAAAATGTACGTCAAACAGCATCGGCGTTACTCACAATGTTCAAAATCCACACTGTAAAAGTTCGTTCATTTCCCGTTATGTCTATGTAAATATTTTATGGCATTGGATTCATTATGCGTAAGAAATAGCTCGTAAAAAATGTAGAATATGTATTTTTTACAGAATTTCCACGGCAGCCATTTTTGTGCATTATGATCGGGTCATTCGGCTCTCCTCGCTAGATTGTAAATTTGCAGTAATAAACAAAACGAAAACATGTTATGGAAGCTCGTTTGATTCACAATTACCATGTTGAAAATGAAATATGTAGCGGAAATAAAGCCAGCGAAATGGTCGATTACAAATTCGTTGAAGTTTGTATGACGCCATTTGGCCCGTAAATTGGTTACACTGCAACGTTTTCCCACGGATGTCTTGTCGGAAAACGCTTATAAATGGAAAAACTGTTCGTGATATATGAATGAAATCTTATACCTGAAATCTGCAGTTAATTGCCTTCGTTATCATATAAAATTTGACGTAAAACATAATCTGAAAGATCAGTATTGACGCTTTTTTCATGAAGAGGGAATCGAATCAACAACTCAGAATCTAAACTGAACACACTGCTGGATTTTTTCGGTGCAGTAAATCTATATTCTTAGCGGCCATTATTCACTTGAATGTTTAAAAGGGTATTTCATCAAATGTTGAAACAATCATGCCCCATGAATAGTTTTTCTTTTACTTCTTTGGCACCCACAAGCATTTATTACGGTCCCTGTCAAGTCGTTGCTCAAAACACTCCTACCGTATGCGATGGCGGACACGTCAACGAAATTTGCATACAGACGAATGAAAGAGTTAGTCTCGTATCTACATGATTAGTGAAAGACGTGTTTATATTTTCATTTTCATTTAAAACCATTATGGTAAACACAAGTAGAAATGTCACAACAAATAGAAAATTACTTGAAGCAGAAATACTCAGAAAGAGTTATTGTCTTGTCGACAGCTTTGCATATTTAAAAATGTCGCCGACAATGTTCAGCGGTGTGTCGGAATTCGGATTTACTTTATTTGGTCCTGTAGTGTTTTATTCAGTTCGACAGCAACCGAGAAGGTAAGTGCCAGAACCTTATGTCGTCGTAATCGTCGGGGGTAAATGTGAGGGATTTGGCTGGGTAATGCATGGAATCTGCCATACTGTGGTACTTTGTACAACGATAAACGCGCCAGTGACCTCAACGTTCTAGACGTTATGCTTAGGTTAGGTTTCCAGTTTTCAATTCCCGTCACTTTGTGTTGCTATCATGCAGTAAGAAAGGCATACATCGCAATGTTATTGTATTACCTGATATGTGTGCAGTCAATTTGATTTAATTGTGAGTTGGTATTTCGTGAATGTTGAAAATTTGGTCTAAAATGAAGATCTGAGTCTGAACCGTGTGAAACATTTTGTTGATATATTTCTTTCAATCCATGGTCGTGTTGTGACCTGTTTATGTCCATCGTTACACTTAGTTGACATGGTGACATCATTTCAGCGGGCAATATCAAATTAAATTATTGTTTAACTATGCATACGTGTTAATGTTTAAATGATTTGATAGGAATTACACGAAAGTTTACGCTACTGAAAAAACGGGCGTGAAAATAGTTCGCCGCTAATTAGATGTCTTCTCTTAGGTCCGCTACTGCTCGTGACATTTACCACACAAATTGATTTGGGTTACGTTATTTCAGTTTCAAAAGTGACATTTAGATAGGTTATGATAAAACTGATGAAAACCAATAACTATTACTGAGTATTTGTTTTAAAAAAATCACAAATTGAATCGTATATCAGTGAGTAAAGATTTATACAAAATTTCACCTTTATTAATCCCACAACAAGCCATGTGTATAAGTAGTTATGTATTATGGAAATAGTTATAAGGCAATAAAAAACATTTCAGTCATAACAAGAAATTGGTATCAAAGGTTACAAGTGCTCATATCTTAGACACTCCATGAAAGAAGACTAAAATTCTGTGAAAATATTTTAAGAAATTGTATTAATCCACTATATATAAATAAACCTGTCATCACCTATATTAATACAAAATAAAGGTAATACAGTACTTTCATTTACACTTGTTAATATTTATTGTATATTGAAACATCACAATCTCCTTCCAAGCATCCAGTGAATGTTTCAACATTAGTGTCAGTTAAATCAGGTTATGGTTTTGTTATGATTATCTGTGACCACCTTAACTGTATTTATTCCTATTCCTGTATATAAATTGTTATATTCTTGTGCACTTTTGAACCATAATACAAACATGAATAATCAGATAAATTGGAATATATTGTTATCATTGACTTCTTTTACTTCATATGAGTATATGTTTCAAACATGAAATGTAATTAGGGTAGTTATATTACTTGTTAAATTACAGATAAAAACATTTCATTACTGAACAAGGAATTAGTAATTGAGGGTGTTCCAGACTCCTGGTTTTTTGAGTAATTTGAAACTTTGCATGAGGTTGTTATTCAAATGTAAGTAAAAAAAAATTGTGTGTAAAGTACAATTTTCAAAGTATATTTTAAAAAAAAAATATAAGTTACATGTATTGTCACAAAGTATCCATTACAATAAGTATTTTCCAATAATAGAAATAGACGACCATACATATTATTTGAGAAATATCTTTATAATAGTTTTCCGATTGAGTAAACATGAAAAATAGAAAAGAAAAACGTAAGGGGATAATTATGACATGTTACAAATGGAAAAAATCGCTGCATTGTTTGCTCCCTTCGAGATTTATCTGGACAATATAAATGTGTAAGCTTGCATTTTCATTAAATATGAACTTATTTACGTTGTAGTTGTGTTATTTGAATAATATGATCATATCCATCTGTCATGACTGAATTAAACTATGCCAAAACATATTGTGTGTTTGTTTGTTATGATACCACACCTCTGCCAATACTGCTTGACTAAGTCAAATTAATTATTTGGTTTATAAAAGATTGAAATTTGAGGACTACCAAAATTGTGTGAGGACTAGTAGTTTGGTGAGAGTCACTAGTCCTCATGGCTAGTAGACTTTTCAAAGAGATTTCTAACCCTGCTCATTCTATCCCGGACCTTCAGGGTTAAAAGTATGTTTTAGTAACAGTTGAGATTGGCATGTGTTTTCTGGTTCATTCAAAAGTAAAGTTCTCACAACTTGTAACTTTAGTTCTAATCAGATGTATAAGACAATGAAAAGAAATCTCTCATTATATACATATTTATTTACATGAAAGACATTTGGTATAAATAGATATTATACAATAATTACCGCGTGATTTTGCTTCAATATCGCAAAATACGGCGTAAGTCATATTCTCACAATCAGATAATATTAAGGATATTTACAGGCACTACATTTGTATACAATAATTACCGTGATTTTGCCTTAATATTGCAATTACGGCGTAAGTCGTACTCTCACAATCAAATAATATTGGCGATATTTACAGAAAAATGTATATACAAAAATTTGCCATGACTTTGCTTTAGTATTGCAATTACAGCGTAAGTCATACTCTCACACTCAAATCACATCAAGAATATTTACAATCAATAAATTTATATACAATAATTCGCCCGACTTTGCTTTTTAGTATTGCAATTACGGCGTAAGTCATACTCTCACACTCAAATCACATCAAGAATATTTACAATCAATATATTTATATACAATAATTCGCGACTTTGCTTTAGTATTGCAATTACGGCGTAAGTCATACTCTCACACTCAAATCACATCAAGAATATTTACAATCGATATATATTTATATACAATAATTCGCCATGATTTTGCTCTAATATTGCAAATATGGCGTAAGTCATACACCGCAATCAAATAATATGAAGGATATTTACAGACAATAAATTTGTACAATAATTCGGCCGTGATTTTGCTGTAATATTGCAAATACGGCGTAAGTAATGCTCTCACAAAATTTATGTACAGTGGACTTAAGCACACAGATGGGGAAACTGCCTGAAGGGATGATATGCCAGTACATACAGCCGTTCACTCTTCAATGTGAGCTGTGTGGTGATACTGGCTGAAACAGCGGGCACAGAGGCCTACAGTGCAGTCAGGACACCAAGTCCTGACCTTCCCTGCAGAGCCATCTGTGGTCCTCTGTCGCTTTCTACAGAGGACACACTGTTTCCTCTTCCTTCCAGGCAGCACTTCGATGAAGTGGCGTCCGGTCAGTCGTCGGGAAGGAGGCTGGGTCCTTGGTCTGCCAGTCCTCCTAGTCACATGAGTGTTCCCGACGAAAGTGAGTGGAGAAGGGACATGTGGAAGTCCAGACGGGGGTCAGCCCTACCATGGGTGTTCATGAAGGTCTGATAGGCATTAACTGTAACGTAAAAGATAAGAAACATTGAAGAATTATAGTGAATAATCACTGGAAAAGCTCATTCTTGATGAATCACTATTATCAAAATATATCGGAAGTGGTACCAATTAATATTCAATAACTCTATTTTTTTTAAATTGTGTCATCAGCAAGTACACTTTGAGAGCAATAGCAATAATTATATGAACAGATCCATTACTTTACCTTATTGATGATAAGCAGACACTACAGTATAATACCAATGAGTGATGATTATGAGTTCTATGGGAAAAATTTTCTTACCTGAAGCTGTGAGAAGAAAGTTGATTAAAATTTTCTTCCACAGCTTCATGGAGCGGACTTGAGGGATCATATACAGCAATGAGTTGATCCCCAAGGTCAACTCCCCCCATCAAGGTGTTGTATAGTCTTACGACTGAGGGGAGAGTGACAGACCGGCCCCGTGAGTTAAGCCCATCTTCCATTCTGTAAAGAAAACATTACATGTTAAGAATTCAAGAATCATGTCAGTAAATTCAAAACATCTTCACAATAAAATTGAGGTATTTCACACTCATAAAACTGTATCATGATATTATGTGCTTGAAAGATAACCACAAGTAATAGAAATCATACTGACTAAACTGCCAAACAGGATATTGAAAAGTTTAAAATACTATATACCTTGGACTACCCATGGTAGATAAAATTGTGAAGACCCTCCTGTCTGAAAAAGAGCACTGCCAGCAGTGGACCCTGTCTTCTCACAATTGTCGAGCCCCTGGGTGGTCTTTTCCCAACAAAGGAGCTCGGCATTCCCTTCCTCCGGACGGCGACAACTCCTGTGCAGAACGTCTCCCTGTCGAAGAGATCATGGCAGAGAGACGGACTGCTGAAGAAGTTGTCACAGATGATGTGGTGTCCCTTGTCGAGATGCGATTCCATCAAGTCCATGACCACACTGTGCCCAAGGCCTGCCCTGGGTGGTGGTCCTCCAAGGTTCCTGCCCTTGTGGATCCGACTTGATGGGTGTATCCAGTACCACGCCTCAAGGATCCACAACTTCACTCCCCATCTGTGTGCTTTCTTGTTGGGCATGTATTGAACAAGATGATGTCATCCCTTAAAGCCAACCATCCTTTCATCCACTCAAACACTCTGGGCCAGCCTGAATAATGTGAAAGATCTTGATGCAAACATTTCAATATTTATGCAATATAAGGTTCATGTCATCATTAAATTTCATTTACCGGTAGTCATTTACTTAGATGGGCTTTCATGGATATATTGACTATGTCTAGACACCATGTCATACATTTCATCCTAAAAATTGTTAAATTTAAACTGGAAAATTTAAAATAGCTTACCGGTGAGTGTTTATGAAGGATCCATTCACAAGATCAAGGACCGGCCTGATCTTGTGGAGGGGGTCATGACCTGGCTGCCCTCGGGGCACTGCAGCAGAATTGTCATTGCAGTGGAGGAACCGCATGATGATTTGGAAGCGGTTCCTCGACATGGTTGCCGGCGAAGGAAGGTGTTGATGCCAGCCAGTTCTTGTCCCCTCATTCCAGTAGGATGAAATGGTTGGCTTCCTGACGACAATCATGCCCAACAAGAGTCCAAGAAATGCCCGCATTTCTTCCCCCCGGTCAACGGGTCTCCAAGCCCGAGCCCTGCTCTCTTGGCTGATAGAGTGTGGCCCTGCAGGTACTGCTCTGCATACCTGTTTGTCTCCCCTGACCAGCAGGTCGAACAAATCAACACCTCCATCCCCTCCTCCCAGTTGTTGATCAAAATATTTGATAGGAGGGCATCTTCACCTGAAAATTATATCATTATTTGTATCTAAACCTTTATCATTATTACAAACCATTATTGATCATATCTTCAGCATTTTGTCTACAATCAAAATCTTTCATAAACATTCATACATACCTATATCTTTGATAGATACCAGCATAATGTCAATAGTATTCAATTGATATCCACATTTATACCTGAACATGTGTAACTTTGCCACATACCAAATTGAAGGATATAACAATTAAGTTATTTCTTATGAATTGTATTGCCTATGTTCATTAATGAATACATTCATTTTATGATAAATCATGTATGTTAGTATGTCATTTATTTGTTTAATGTACTGTTGACATGACTACCTGGAGGGTTGACAGGGCCGCAGTCCCCGGCAAAGTCAATGTCATTGCCGAGGTCAAAGCTGTCAGTGTCCAGCACAGGCAGCCAGGGGCCACGAACCATTGGTTGGGCCCCTCTTTCTTCTTCATCTTCTTGAAGTTCTTCATCTGAAAGTTGTGATAATTTTTGCATCAGTGGGGTACCAAAAATGTAATATGTACCAGTGTTCTCAATTAAATATTAAAGGAAAGATTTATTTTCATTTAGAGAGTGTTTTCATGCAAGTAACACAGGAAAATATATTAATGGGCTTATGACACATGCTCATATAAAGCATTTCCCAGATTGTTCACAATATTTTCTTAATGGGGCAGGTAATACACCCTATATATAATGTGACACCATTTTGATTTTTCAGATTAGATATCCTAATATCATTGGGAAAAATATTATCATTCTTTACTCTCCTAGTCATTCCTCGTTGAAAAATAATTTGACTGTACTGAATACTGCAGCATTTATTTCTCAGTGCTTCATACAGTGAGAATTAAAGCTCAACAAGTGTTGGATGATGGATTTTCATATTGTTAGAGGGAGATAATGCAATTCTTTGTGTACTGTATTACCTCCCTTAGATATACAAATTATATTGGCAGATTATCTGAAAGATGTATAATGATGCTACTGTATTGCACCAGTGTGGTTTCTAATGATTTTCTAATATGATGTTGTGATGGTCATAGTGGAGAATTAGCTCAGCAAAGAGTCTGAATTCACCAGAAGTATATTGTCTTAAATATTTACAAAAAATAAAGAAGGGTATGACCACATAGTTATTAAACCCCTCTGGGCTGTGGCCTACAGCTATTCTGTTTTAGGTAGTTTCAGGGTTCCCACAGGCATGGCAGGTAAAAATTCCTGACTTTACCCTGACAAGTATAGATTTTCCTGACCATGTAAGTGTAAAAACTGGCCTCCTCCCTCCCTTTCAGTCAGTCCTAACCACCGTGTTTGCGTGTTAAGATATTTCCTTCACACATATCATAAATACACATAGTATTTGTTAATTTATTACATTAACCAAAACATTGATATTTAGGATGAATTAATTTTTCCTTGACTCTCCTGCCATAATGTAAGATAATACTATTAGATACATTTGACTGTGACCATGAAATATATATTCTCACTTGATGTCAGTAATATATCATCTGAAAACTTTGTATTTTATATCAAGGGCATTTGACAAAGAGCATAAATGTGAAACAAATGATTTAATTGAATTTTTTCATTCAAAGTCAGGAACACATTTCTTCATTATCACAAAATGTTGTAATTATCAAAGGCGTATTTGGAAAGAATAAACATGCAAGATGTCACTTTACATTCAGTACAACCATGACAACTAGAGTATGAACACCATTCAACCACTTTCAACTTTGTGAATAAACAGCAAATGTCTGAACATAGGGCACATTATAAACCAGGGATAGAAATACGCTTTTTTAAGTGTGCCTTTATGGCACCAGACAAATATTTTAGGTGTGCCTTTCAGAAATCAAGTATGCCCACATGTTTTAGAATACATGACAATGATGATGATCATTTGAAATTTATTGTTAAATAAAGATATGGGTTTATTGGCATTCAAATATGTATGGTATTATTCAGTTTGGAAAAATAATTGTTTGGGGATTAAATGACTAAATGTGAGTTATGTCTCTAAAACATTAGGGCGGTCAAAAGGGCACCAAGAGCATTTTTCAGCCGTGCCATTTCAATATTTACTGTGCCATGGCACACTAATATATGGGGTATTTTTAACCCTGTAAACCTAGACTGTACTTTAACAAAGAAACTTATATGGGTATTTTTTGACCAAAATGGGCTTTCACAATTTGCAAGAAACCACCATAGCCATCATACTATTTATAATATTTTGGAAAAGTATACAAATGAATGGAAAATTATCAGTTAACATAGTTATCTTTAGACAAGGTGGACCTATAAAGAAAAATGTTTTGAATGGCAAACAATTATCTATTGTTAATCACTATGCCTATCTCGGACTAGTGTTTTCCATGCTAAACAAGAGTCATCAAAAGATGACAAATCCCCCTCGCCCCTACAAATATGAAACAGCAAATCATCTGACAGTTACTTAAAGTTGAACTTCATTTTTTAGACAAAGTCTAAAACGTTTCCATGGCAACCAAGAAAAATAAAATGACAACAATCTGTAAATATTCAAAGGCACCACTTTTTATTTTCTGTTTGATATATCTGCAAAGTTTTGTTGAAAATATTGAACCGCTTTCGAGTTATGCTCGAAACAATATGATTACGTCTGGGACGGACAGACAGACAAGACGTTGACTATATCCCCATTACATCTGAAATCACATGCTAAGAAGGCTCTTGTCAAATTTATGTCAGTTTCAAGAATTTTTTATATTAACCCAGAAAATATGTTTCATACTGTTTAATTCAGAAATCGAACCAATTCTGCTTCATAGAAATATCAAAATTCCTGAATTTTCCTGACTTTCAGAGAAATGCCAGATTTCCTGACTTTTCCCTGACCTGTGGGAGCCCTGAGTTTATACCCAAATTTATAACACTTTCATTTTCTAAGTATTCATTTTAAATGATTAATGAAACGATAAAAAAAATTATGTTTGGTTCATTATACTTTATTGGTTGTGCCCTACAATAACATAAATTACTAGGCAGAGTGGAGTAATTAATCCTGCTAACCCTACTTGATCTGTTTACTCTGTGAAGTAACTCAAGGCATTATATTGCACAGTAAACAGTGTAAACATAGGTTTTTGAATATCAAGCAATGTTCGCTTCATATATTATGTACATAAAGCTATTCCATATCTCTGTGTAGGAAGTATGTATCAAAATTGTGAATGTGCTCCCATAACTTCAAGAGTAGAAAATGGCAAATACCAAAACATAACTTTTGTTAATTGAAAAGATGATATTTAAGATGAATTGCATTTCATGTTATATTGTCCATCATATAGATATAGATACTGTTTTTATTATTTAACAATATAATTACAAATGTCCATCAGTAACTTTTGTATTAACAATGTTAGAGTAGTTAGGTAAATATTTATATGAGGCTAGTATATTCAGAGATGAGTTAATTAGTACACATTAATTGTACAGGTATCTTCCCATAATAAAGACCTCCCAACAGACAGACCTCTTAAAACAACACATTTTATGGTTGGTTGCATAAGGCTTAATGAAGCTTAACCCTTGTTAATAATGGTATGTGCCCAGATAAAAAAACAACATTAGGTATTAACTATAGTTTCATCAATTCAAGTAATTAATTATGATTTTTAAATTCAGACATATTGCATCAACACATCCACATCTATTTGCCAGATCACATCTACTTGTGAATATTATCAAATACAATAATTTATATACATGTACCTACCAAACATATGAGACCAAGCACCATATTATTATTCACCACTAAACTCTAGTTGCCAAATTTATCAAAACTGGACTTTTCTCAATTTTGTAATATGTGTCAATAATAATATGCTGTATGTTCTCTGTGTCACAAAATGCTTGTACTAATAATTAAGAAGGCCTTTTGTATAATTGTACTCACTGACATAAAACATATTTTCTTCTATGTCAAAAGTACATGATTACATTCAAAGACAATATTGATATGAAAAATTCACATGTTATTTTTATTACATTGAGTACTTATGTTGACACTATTTCAGAATACACATTCTCTTTTTTTTACTGTG